CTAAACGGTTAGAGATACAGGCTTCGGACAGGTACCAAATTAAAGCCCTTTCAAAACCCTACATTTTGGACTACAATGACGACCCTCTACTCCCAATAGAAGCGGAGATATCGACGGGTGAAGGCTGGATATCGACGGAGAAAGGTTAGAAAACTTTAACCTTCGATATCTCCTAAACGGTTAGAGATACAGGCTTCGGACAGGTACCAAATTAAAGCCCTTTCAAAACCCTACATTTTGGACTACAATGACGACCCTCTACTCCCAATAGAAGCGGAGATATCGACGGATGAAGGCTGGATATCGACGGAGAAATGTTAGAAAACTTTAACCTTCGATATCTCCTAAACGGTTAGAGATACAGGCTTCGGACAGGTACCAAATTAAAGCCCTTTCAAAACCCTACATTTTGGACTACAATGACGACCCTCTACTCCCAATAGAAGCGGAGATATCGACGGATGAAGGCTGGATATCGACGGAGAAAGGTTAGAAAACTTTAACCTTCGATATCTCCTAAACGGTTAGAGATACAGGCTTCGGACAGGTACCAAATTAAAGCCCTTTCAAAACCCTACATTTTGGACTACATGGACGACTCTCTACTCCCAGTAGAAGCGGAGATATCGACGGAGAAAGGTTGGAAAACTTTAACCTTCGATATCTCCTAAACGGTTAGAGATACAGGCTTCGGACAGGTACCAAATTAAAGCCCTTTCAAAACCCTACATTTTGGACTACATGGACGACTCTCTACTCCCAGTAGAAGCGGAGATATTGACGGATGAAGACTGGATATCGACGGAGAAAGGTTGGAAAACTTTAACCTTCGATATCTCCTAAACGGTTAGAGATACAGGCTTCGGACAGGTACCAAATTAAAGCCCTTTCAAAACCCTACATTTTGCACTACATGGACGACTCTCTACTCCCAGTAGAAGCGGAGATATCGACGGAGAAAGGTTGGAAAACTTTAACCTTCGATATCTCCTAAACGGTTCGAGATACAGGCCTGGTTCTGGCACCAAATTAAAGTCCTCTCAAAACCCTACATTTTGCCGTAAGTGACGACTCTCTACTCCCAGTAGAAGCGGAGATATCAATGGAGAAAGCTTGGAAAACTTTAACCTTCGATATCTCCTAAACGGTTAGAGGAACAGGCCTGGTTCTGGCACCAAATTAAAGTCCTCTCAAAACCCTACATTTTGCCGTAAGTGACGACTCTCTACTCCCAGTAGAAGCGGAGATATCGACGGAGAAAACTTGGAAAACTTTAACCTTCGATATCTCCTAAACGGTTAGAGATACAGGCCTGGTTCTGGCACCAAATTAAAGTCCTCTCAAAACCCTACATTTTGCCGTAAGTGACGACTCTCTACTCCCAGTAGAAGCGGAGATATCAAAGGAGAAAGCTTGGAAAACTTTAACCTTCGATATCTCCTAAACGGTTAGAGATACAGGCCTGGTTCTGGCACCAAATTAAAGTCCTCTCAAAACCCTACATTTTGCCTTAAGTGACGACTCTCTACTCCCAGTAGAAGCGGAGATATCAACGGAGAAAGCTTGAAAATCTTTAACCTTCGATATCTCCTAAACGGTTAGAGATACAGGCCTGGTTCTGGCACCAAATTAAAGTCCTCTCAAAACCCTACATTTTGCCGTAAGTGACGACTCTCTACTCCCAGTAGAAGCGGAGATATCAACGGAGAAAGCTTGGAAAACTTTAACCTTCGATATCTCCTAAACGGTTAGAGATACAGGCCTGGTTCTGGCACCAAATTAAAGTCCTCTCAAAACCCTACATTTTGCCGTAAGTGACGACTCTCTACTCCCAGTAGAAGCGGAGATATCAACGGAGAAAGCTTGGAAAACTTTAACCTTCGATATCTCCTAAACGGTTAGAGATACAGGCCTGGTTCTGGCACCAAATTAAAGTCCTCTCAAAACCCTACATTTTGCCGTAAGTGACGACTCTCTACTCCCTGTAGAAGCGGAGATATCAAAGGAGAAAGCTTGGAAAACTTTAATCTTCGATATCTCCTAAACGGTTAGAGATACAGGCTTCGGACAGGTACCAAATTAAAGCCCTTTCAAAACCCTACATTTTCGGCTACAATCACGACTCTCTACTCCTAGTAGAAGCGGAGATATCAACGGAGAAAGGTTGGAAAACTTTAATCTTCGAATACTTTTATTTAGACAATAAATGTTCCCCGAGGGGCATGCCCCCCGGAATAAATACAGAATTATTTCAGGCATAGGCCAGGTACCTTAGTTAAATACTTTATTGTCGGGGGACAATTTGCCCCTCCCGACCGTGGGCACCAATACGTAAATTCTTCTATATATATATGTATATTCCTAATAGAAACATTGCCCAGGCTAACAGGCCTGAGTAGCAATTTGTGAACGATTACAAGCGATGGGAAATATCCAAAAGATGGGAAGTTGGGTGCCATATGAATTGAATGACAGGCAATTGGAAAATCGAAAAATCGTCAGTGAAATGCTGCTTCGAAGGTATGAAAGGAAGCCTTTTCTGCATCGAATAGTAACGGGTGATGAAAAATGGATTTATTTCGAAAATCCCAAGCGAAAAGAATCATGGTTATCACCTGGCGAAGGCGGCCCATCGACTGCAAGGCCAAATCGCTTTGGTCGCAAGACCATGCTCTGTGGCTGGTGGGACCAGGTTGGTGTCGTATATTATGAACTGTTGAAACCTGGAGAAACAGTTAATATTGATCGCTACCAACAACAAATAATCAATTTGAACTGTGCATTGATCGAAAAACGTCCACAATACGCTCAAAGGCATGATAAGGTGATTTTGCAGCGTGACAACGCGCCGTCTCATACAGCAAAACCAGTCAAAGAAGTGTTGAAGTCACTTGGATGGGAAGTTTTATCGCATCCGCCGTACTCTCCAGACCTGGCTCCATCCAACTACCAACTTTTCGCATCGATGGGGCACGCGCTTGCAGAGTAGTACTTCGCCGATTTCGAAGAAGTTAAAAAATGGCTCGATGAATGGTTTAGCTCAAAGGAGGAACAGTTCTTTTGGAATGGCATCCATAAATTGCCTGAGAAATAGGCAAAATGTATAGAATCAAATGGCCAATACTTTGAATAAATATATTTTAACTATCCATTGTAAATAACGTGTTTTCTTTAGCGAAAAAACCGGAAACGAATTACCGACACACCTGGTATATGTGCCTAATGAAAGCACAATTATTAATAGAACATTTTTACAATAATATTTAAGTATGCGATAATATTTAATAATGCATAATATTCTCTAATATGTAATTTTTGACATTGTATTAACATAGTTGCGAACAATCCTACAAATTCAATATTTCAAAAACATTTGTACAATATTTGAAAAGATTATATTATCTAATATATAAAATTAATATTTTAAGATGCCAATTTACTGTTCTTTGTTTACTAGATGATGAAATTTGTATGGTAAAATAGAAAAGATAGACCACAAAATATAACAAACACATAAAAGTATTTATTGTACAATGTACATAATATATTATGGGAGAATGGAATGAGAAATTTTAACATGTTTCATAATTAATTTGTACATATTATTCAGAAAATTCCAATTGAATCTGCAACACCTGCATAAATATGTAATGTCATTATATTCATGAAGAAAGTGGTAACTGCCTTAATAATGAGTGTGAACCATGGACCAGCTAATAAAAGTGATGAAAGGAAGTCAAACACAAGCGACCTATATACTGTCAGTAGAAGCATACCAATTACTATAGGAACTAAACTACGTCGTAAATCATGTCTGGACCATAACCAAACCAATGTTGCAGTTGTTATATGTTGTACCTGTCAGGAAAATGTGACATAAATTTCATGAATTTTCCCTAGTGAATTTCATGTGACATGAAAGTTGTCTTTAATTTCTATGTATCAAATATGAACAATAAACTCTTACCAAGTTGATACTTGATTCAAGACTCTTTTGAATATATTTCCAATCAAATTCTGTATCACGTGCATCAACCCAAAGTAACAGGAATCTTGTAAGTAATCCTTCTGCTCCTGCCCATCCTATACCAACGGTTAAAACTTTGGTATAACCTTTACCTGGAATACTATTTAATACCAGCAAAAATCCTATCAAGTCTGCTAAGTCAATGGAAGACTTTAAAAATTCCTGGAAACATATTTCTCAATTTATTAAAATATCAGTATAATTTTGTGATGATGAATATTTAATAATATATACTCCAAAGACATTAAAACCTTCTTCTCCAACATTGTCAGCTGTTGGGAAAAATGTGGCAAGAGCCAGCATTTTTACAAGCTGTGTAAAAATATAAATTCCACTTGCTTGAATGCATTTCCAAAATGCACCATATTCTGATCTGAAATCAATTTACTTTACTTTTTACACTGTTTAATTTAGGTTAAAATCAAATTCTTGATATACTTACAGACCGGAATATTTATAAGTTAAGTGATAAGGTACATATACTAAAGCTAAACAGTTTCCGAAGTGATATAACGTCATTTTTCTATAATGTTTAGTCAATTTGCGGTACTATTTGAGGAAACTGATCAGTCAATCATAATAAAATTACCCACAACAAACGATCATCATCAACAATCAGAAACCATGATGAACAATGACTAGAGATAGGTTACTCGTTGCTTTTATTAGTTCAGAAATCTTCGCTATGTGTCGCTACTATTTCAGTTTTGGTTATGGTAACGACATAGATGTCGCTGTTAAGCGCAGTATCTGCAATTGGTTGTAGTGCGCAACAGTGGTAATGTTGAGTAGTGGATTAGTCACGATTCGCTGAGTGAACAATTTGCAAGAAATTTCACATATTTTTCCTTATTTTATAAGCAACGTTTGTAACTGTTTATAGGGAAAAATATATGGTTGTTGTGCACTTTAATGTAATTTAAATATCAAAAGTACAAGAGAAAGAGAGAGAAAGAGAGTAGCTTTGATTTTTATAAAATATATTTGAATGGTGAGTTCTTACTTCAAAGTATAACCTATCATTCCAATGACTTGTGTGAACTTGTATGTTTGATGGAACTATGTGACACGTTTTAGCAGAATCTTTCATGCCACTTTTATTATTTTCACGAACCATTTCTAATATGACTTTACAGCTTGGGAGAATGTTGTAGTCATGAAAATTGTTATATTAGTCACTGTAATACACGTTTTATCTCTATGGCTAAAGGAAAATTAAGAGGTTCTGATTCCAACAATAAGGTATGTTTATGTCATATATCTGTAATTACAATTATTTTGCTTGTAGATGAATTTTTGTTTCCTTTTTTAATATTCATGTGATATCTTACACGATTAGATAGCAGCATCAAATACAGCATTTAAGAATGGAGAAACATATACATGGGAGTTTGAGATCAATGAAACTCCACCTAGTGCTAGAACCTTACTTACCAAAGGTTATATACAAGATGAAATTAATTCATTTTCAGGTACAGTTAAATTCATCGTAATATATATCATCCAAGTTGTTATTTTTTGTATATATCTATTAATATTCTATTATTGCTATATTATGGTAATTTAGGAGCAACTGTATCAACACGCGGGCGTTTTATGACAGAGCAAGAAAAGCTTCGATGTCCAAATGAAAGACCGTTGTACCTTTATATACAAGGACATACAAAACACAATGTTGATTGTATGTATTATATAATTTTCCTATCTTAATTATTTTTGTTAAGATATATCTTTAGTAAATCTTTTATTTAACAGTGGCAATACAAAAGATCAATGAAATTATCAAAACAGAACACCAAAGTTCTTTAAATAGACCAAGCAGGTTTACAAATGCTCCACCACCTCTTATGAGTTTACATTCCGGAGTTACAACTGTGGTAATATTTTTGTCTTATTTAATTTGCATTTGTAAAATTATTTCATATAGTAATATTCAGTAACATGTTTATGCGAATTTATAGGAAAAAATTTGTGTTGGTATTGAGAATGCACCACAAGGTTTTGATTTACGTGGACGTATATTGGGTATTGGTGATGCAAATTTAATGTATATTAGAGGTGAAACCGGTGCAAATGTCACTTTAAGAGGTAGAGGATCTCAATTTGTTGACCCAGTTTTAGGGGCAGAATCTCCAGAACCGCTCCATTTGTACATAGAGTAAGAATGTCTAAAATTTTAGACTACTCATTAATAAAACAAATAAGTCGCATAGTTTGTAAAATATTATTTTTGTTTAGACATCCAAAACCAGAAGCATTACAAAATGCAAAACAATTGGCTATCAACTTGATACAAACAATACAATCTGAATTACAAACTTATATCCAGCAACAACCGCCACCGGTACAACCTCAGCAAGTTATGGAACAATCACAAATACAACAAAGTATGTAATTTACATACAAATTAGCTACTTATATATAATATAATTATAAATGATATAATCTTTCTCTAATTTATAGCCCAATTTCAAACTATGAACATTGGTACCTTGGCCCAGCCCAATATGGTCACAATACAACATCAAGGTATAATATATATTATAGGAATTATATATCGTTAATCATAGATTATTTGAAATATAATGTTAATATTTATTTAACAGATATTATACAGCATCCACAAAGTAATGTTGTAACATTACCGGCAACAATTCTTACTGCTACTGTAGCTGGTACTCCAGGTCCTGGTGTATCAGTCCCACCTCCAGGGGTATATATACCACCTCACACTGGACCATTAGTTCCACCTCCGCAAGCTCAGGTGTGTAATTAAACTCAAATTAGGCACTTTGTCATTGCATAAAGTTGTTTAGTGGAAATTAATGACGTGACATAAATGAATGTTCTAATTAAAGGAGATACAGACTTTCATGCCACCACCACCAGTTGGGCAAGTACAGTTAATTGGTCCTCCGTCAACAGTAAGTCAAGTTCAGTATCAGATACATCCTGGTCAGCCACTGCAAATCCAAGGGATTCAACCAGGGTCGCAATCTTCGCCGCAGCCTGTGGCACAGATGTATGTCATGAGCCAGCCACCACCGCAGAGTCCTGCGCAACAGAGTTTCATAACGAGTAGCAGCGCGCCGGCGAGCGGGGCGGTGTCGTACGTTTATACCCAGCCGAACGTACAGAGGCCAGCCACACCATCGCAAGGCATCATCGAAACTGTTAATGTCAACTTGCAACAACCTCCTCCACCCGCAGCGCCGCTCAATATAACACAGCAGCCGCCACCACCATTGCTACATCTTCACTTTCCGCCGCCAAACTTCCCGCCGAATCAACCGCCTCCTCCCGTGCCGCAAACTTATCAGATACAATATCAGCAGGTACAGGCACCCGCATCACAATCGCAAACGCAGTTCGTCCTGCAACCTGGCGAGCACATTGTTCCACCTCAGCTGCAACAGAATCACGAGCAATCTCAAGCTGTCGCTCAGCATATAATACCGCCGCAATTCGAGGGTCACGCTCCACCGTTCCACCTGCAAGTACCTCCTCCGTCAGCGCAAACCTTCCTAGTTCCCAACGCTCAGTCCCCGCAGCATCACCCGCAACCTCCGCTCCCACCCGGCGGTGAGATTCAGCATCAGCAGGAGGGCCCGGTGGAGCAAGGGCCATTGCCGCAGCCAGTACCACCTCCGCAGATCGTGCCACCACCGTCGATCGGCCAGATGCCGAATTCCATGAATATTCTTACTAGTGTACCGCCGCCGACGCAACCGCCGCCTCCGCAAAACGCACCGTGGCTTTATCAGGCGCAGCAACCGCAGCAAATACCGCAACCGCAAGGGCAATTGCAGGTATTGCGCGACATTGTTAGAGTTCTGATATCGTTTATACTGATGTTTAACTATTTGGTATCGTTATTGCCCCTTCGCAAGGGGCGACAAAGATACACAATGTTCGTTTTACAAAACAATTTTATAGATGCAAATGCCGCCGCAGAATATACCTCTTCATAACGTACCTCCACCGCAAGTTCAAGCTCAAATACAATATCATCCTCAGCACATACAGTATCAGAACGGGCATGTGCCGACGCAAGTGCACTACACGATGCAACCACCGCATCAGCAGTTTGAGCAGAAGCCCGATTCTCCGGAGCAGCAGAAGTCGCACGGAGTAAAAAGAAGGTTTTCAGACGTTGAAGGAGGTCAGGTAGAGTATCGTTCGCGGAAATCGCATTTTTCGCGAGCCGAAAAATGTGCAATGGAATTTTGTGGTATTTATTTAATTCTATTTCTTTTTTGGAATACACGTCATAGGAGCCACCACCATATCAATGCGCACCGCTACCCGCACAACGTCATGGCACAGGGTAAGTCCAAGAAAGTACTGTTATTTTAACCGATATATGCTGTAACATATAAATTAACGTAACTTTACGATAGCCGTCACGCATTTAGAGGAGCTATACCTTGGTAGATTGTGAGTGAGGGAAACTTGTGTGCTTGCTTGAATAAAGCAGGTGTATCAAGTGTAAAATTTTAACTAGGTGTCTACTAAAAAAGCTACTGATAATTTCCAGAATTATAGGCTACTATAACATAAACGCACAAACGATGATTTTAATCGTGGATTAAAATCCTGTCGGTACGAAGAGAACTATCGATAAAGAAACAACTGCTTCGAATCGCTTATGCTTCATTCATAGCAAATGCAAATTTAATAAAGAAAAAAGAAACGATTGTAGAATTACATGAAGAAAATGTAAGCCAATGTGTCCAACTGTCTTCTTACAGAAAGCTGCTTTTGCGCGTTACCTAACAAGGCATTATACTAATTATTCCACAAAAAGTGGAGAAACTCTGCTTTTACAGTAATATTGTTTTACTATAAAAGCGGAGGTACCAAAAGAGTGTTTGGATATTTCATGAATATAATAGATGTTTTATATTCACAGATATGTATCATTATACTTTTCCTGAGAAATCTTATAAGAGTCATTAACTATGAACATGATTCATTGGCTGCAAGATCCAGATATATCCATATCGATAAATTATTTTCAGTCCTTGAAAATAGTTTAATTCGATGGAAAGTTAAGACTATGTGAAGTTTCCATGTTGTTCATAAACGTTCGATAATGTTTTAATCATCATAGGTGTGCACATATATCTGGCTCTTTTGCAAAATATTTTTTCTGTAAATTGTATGGTTATATAGAGATATTTTTTTTTAATTAATTAAAGCGATGTTATTATCTTTGCAAGTGTAGTGTAAAGATAATAATAAACTTGCATTTTCCTCATGTTATCCACGATTTCATATCGTTGGAATCTTCAAGTACAATTTTTTTTGCCAGAATCACTAATTTTATGTTCTCTTAGCATAAGTGATAAGCCAAAAGAGACGTGTCGCGGCAATATAATTGCTACTTTTGCCGAACATCAGCAAAATAATCATACAGATTATTTGAACGTACATTGTAATGTTCGATATAACGATATTACAATTACGTTTGTAAAAACACTTACTAACGTAAGTCGACGTCATTAACTGTGTGATCTGGCAAAACCAGATATTTTCCATATTTCAGAAGTATCCAAGGGTGCGCATCAGGTGATTTTTGTCTTAGTGCTTGTGAAATGTCTCTCAGATGAAATCTTTAATTTGGAATTAATAATTCGCACCTGCATTGTTTAAGCAGAGAAGGTGATCGACAACAGCAAGTCTTACATGGCCCATCACCCACACCTGCGGGTCTACCACATGGAGATCGAAACAAGATGCTTATACCAGCCACACACCCAGGTCTGTAACTAAGAGTATTTAGCACGGAAAAGGTGCTGGATACCTTTGGAAATCAGAAACGTAATATAGGATGTTATAAAAAAATGCGTTACATCAGCAAAAAGATTGTATTCTCGAGGGACTTTTGACACCGTAACCGTTTAATCTATGGAGAGAGACCCCGGATTCCTTCTTGAATACAACTTTGATATTGGCATAATATGTGAATTTATATTCTTTACCGTATAATACACACGACGTGACATTGTTCGTGTTAATATAAGTCTTGAAGAGAATAACTTTGAAGAATAAATATATATATATATATACATATACATATATACATATATATTTCAGATAGGTATCTAGCATTGTTTTCTTAATACTCTTAGACTGTAGTATATTATTATTGTAAATAATCTTTTTTGGTAATTATAATACAAACTTTCCTTGACTTTTTTAATTTACATCTTAGCAAACCGCTTTTTTATGCATTTGTTGAGGATACCTGCGGAGATGGACATCCAGAAAAAGTAATAAGGATTATTGCAATCTCACCGCATAGAAAATGCTTTGACAGTTATCTTTAAATTTATTTATTATTATTATTTTATATATAGACCCTCCCCAGATATAAAAACTGCACTGCACGTATTATACTGTCGCGAAGGCGTCGCAAAGTATTCATTCATTTCGGTGCTCTCTCTCTCTCTTTTTTTATAGTGTCTTTTTTATTAAATATAAATGTGCATTTTTCAGATGCAAGTGTAACCTGTGATTTTCCACTTCAGTGTTTGTTTATCCAGTATTAATCATGCTTACTATTATTAGGATTCTGTTTTAAGATATGTTACATACATATTTTTAATGTTACCATTTTAAGTTCAATATATCTTGGACCTGCGTATTCTTTAGGTTAAACTTCGTCTCCGCCTGACTATACTATCCAGGAGAGGACTGAGATGACTGAGTTGCATTTAAACGGATACATGTTTATCGATAATAATATACGAATATTAGTGATGTCTGGAATTTTATATGAAAAAATGCTAATATCTGTGTATTATATAACATCATCAGTGAAGTGATGTCTTTTGTCTTTGTTGTTGCAGTGACCTGAACAATTGTGTAATGGAAACTGTGTGAGCGATTATGTAACGGAAGGAATTTATAGATGCAGAAAAAGATGTAGTTTTAATGAATAAGTTTATACTTTACAGATAGAGAGCAAATAACTGTATGGCTTCAGATTCTTAATGGGACTGATAAAAAACAAAAGTGGTAACCACCTAATATTACGCAAGAATGTGTAAACTGCGTTGCTTGCTTTCAGAATTTAATAGCGATTACCAAATCGCTCTGCTAGTTTGGCAATGGTTAATGGCGTGAAATATTGTCCTAATATCTAATTTAGTTCTTTAAGAATAGACTCGAATTTAGAGAATTAAATTTCTTCCCCTCGCTACAGTATCCTCTCGAGCGGAAGATGAAGACCGGGAGAGGTTTTCTTACAATACGGATATACAAACTACTTTGCAATGTTAGATCCGCATCTAAATTCAGAAAAGATTTGTTTTTCTATTCTTTATGCTTGCGATTGACGACATTAAGATTAATTACGTTCCGCTGAACGGCGAGTTTCCTTTTTTCTTTTTTAAGTTTATTATTACATTACAATATTTCATCGCATAATTTGCCATGTTAAATCCCATCATTACGTTACATCTACATAGTTATATAAGGACTTGTCGTTTCCTTCTCTTTATGTCATTCGTCTTAATCGTTTAGGTGAAAAACGGAACTTGGAGCAAAAGCCTGCAGGATTAGCTTCAGGTATGTCAGAGGCACGCGGGATGCTCCATAACATAGAAAAAAAAACCAACTTTTCATACGATTGCAATGTACATCATATTTTACAAGTAGGAAATGAGCAGACTGCAATTGGAGAGTCCGGGAATGTTCATCCTGGACCTGGAAACGGCCCTCCATTGCCGCCTCCGCCTTCGCCACAGGCACCTTGGCAGAATCATCATGTGAGGGTTCCTTGGGGTAGACCACCGCCAATTCCGAGGGAGGGGGAACATCCTGCAGTCGGTCCCGGCTTACCTCCCATTAATATGCCACCTCCTCAGATCAGGCCAAGAGGTGAGCGTTTGATTCATTATCACGCGTCACAGTCGCGCCATTTTTACTCGATACATTGAATTTTAAACGCGTTACGTTTAATCGGACCTTCACGGTTACGTCAGCCATTCCCTTATCATCATACACGAGAAATTATAGATTCAACATTAGCGTGACCTTCCTGTATGCGCGATTAGAATGACGTACTGAACGCACTTGAAGAACGCGCTGCTGTGTTTAGGCCCCGCTGACGGTAACCGGTCCCCCACTCAGAACGCCGTGTTAGAGCAGCCGTTAAACGTCGAGTACAATCAAATGCCACCATACACGTCGAAACCGCCGCCTTACAACGCGCATCCGTTGATGCAGTCGATTTGTAACCCTCCGCCGCCGCCGCCGCCGCATCACCAACAACGGCCGCAGCATCCTTCTCAAGCGGTGCAGCATTATCAGGTGCCAATCTCTCAAACATATCAGCCGCCGACGTCCTGTCCACCGTGGATGAATTGAAAGTCAAGCTGCAGCAGAGGTGTTGTTTCCCGCTCTAGTACCTGGACGATGACTGATGTGACTTTTACCGAATGTAATATCGCTTTAACGTGAGCGACGCAACGATGTATTAGCGATGTAAGCTATGAGGGGATCTGATGGAAATGCGAGCAATTGGATCTATTTTGCGTTTATTGCCTCGTATTATTCACACACTCGATTGTTCCTCGTGTAATAATAGTTGCAATGGATAATTTAATGTGATGATTAAGTAACTTGTACAATATTATATAGTAGCTACTATATAATTTAGTAATCTGTTTCCAGGACGCTAATGAACATGTAAAAATGTATAAATTTCGAAAATTATTTATATTGTACAATCTTTAAATTCTATCCATCACGGGGAGGTGAGACGCGCAAATCGATTATGTGAAATGCGTGACCGGATTGTATGAGGAAATATAACGTCTCGTTAACGATATAGTTACTTACTGATTGCGTAGCTTGTCTTCAAACATATATATACACGCTAAGAGCGTAATTAATTAATTGTATAATAGATGCGTCTAGAAAGAGAACGACAGCGTTATTATAACTTTTGATTTGATCATTGCGCATACGAGAACCATTTGTTTTGTATACAAACACACACACACAACACACAAATAATGATAGCGTCGAATCTTCATCTCTGGCGCGGTAAAAAAAACTGCATCTCCATTTATAGATAGGTACATAACAACATGTGTAACGTATGTATGCGATTTTTTTATGCAACAGCCAATAAATCGTTATTGCCAATATGCAGTAGTTTCGTGTCGACGTTGCCGTTGCGTCTCGTCACTCTTGCGCGTAACATACCGGCCGTTTCTCGGGTCGATGCGAACTGGCAAACAGCGGTAAAACCGCACCGTTTCCATTTGCAGCGAGCAATCGTCGCAATTAGCCCCGTTAAACGCCGCCGGCTCGGCACTGGAAGGGGCGGGCGAGGGGAGCAGCAGCGGCGATCAAATCCTGACCAAGGCGTCCGTGTTGCAGGTGGAAAGGGAGGAGGCGACGCAGGGGGCGAAATTCCGCTCGATACAAATTCGATAAAGCGGCGGCCGCCGCCGCCGCCGCCACCACCGGGCCGCAGGACCCGCTCGTTACCGGATCCGGCGGTCTGCTAGTTGTTACGTCAGAAAACTCGATTCTCGTCGAGTTCCGTAACCGCGTTGCCGATACTTCGGGGGAAGTTTAATTTGCCGGATAGAGCGGCGCATTATATGGCCTTGTCACCACGGTGAATTCTTTCGCCGGACGATCGCCGGGCCAATGGGGAGTGGTGAATTTCACCGAGGAATCTCCGCCGCTCTGTTGCATGCGTTAAAACGCGGTTGTTAATTTTCGGCGAGCTCAAAGCCGTGCCGCTGCTCGACGATCGCGGCGCTTCCAAACTTGAGCGAACTTGGATGCAATTTTGTCTTTGTTGTATGCACGCGCTTTCTCCTCTCTCCCTCTCTCTCCCTGGCGAGTGTGTGGAGTGACGATAACACGGGGGATCGCGATGAATTAGACGCGCTTCGATCGACGGTTCTTCCCCACGCGGGAAATCTCGCGCTCGATCGAACAGACGACGGCAGGCATATCATGACTATTCGAATTTCCGGAATCGATTATCGTAATCAGGGTTATCTCCCGAAGCGGTTACCACATCAGAGGGATGCTCGCAGCGAGCACAATCGCTCTTCAATGATGTCGCTTTGTCCGTCGTCGTCTCATCAGCTCGTCGCGGCGGCGATCGCGTTTCGACGCGCCCGTCGCAAATTCCCGAAGGACTTCGGCCTTGAGAACGCGGCCGAGTGTGCATCTGGCAGTGCAGAGGTTATCTGTCCCTCATCCGTATATCTTCCTTCTTGTTCTAAGTAAGGTCGCGATCACGCATATGACGAAAAGGAGGAAGCAAAATGGGAAGCGCGTGACTCGAGTCCGCCGGATCAGTCTGAAGCTCCTTCTCATAATCACTTTCTCCTGAGTCCTCCTAGAGCAGATTTCTCTCGTGCGATTTCGCATCCCGCAACGTCCGGGATCCGTCGAGCGATCTCGAGGGCGATCTATCAGTGTGCTTCAGAGACGGACGCGTCTTTCCAGGCGGAAATCGCGACGAGCCGCGAAGGACTCATTAATCAAGCGAGATCGAGCTCCTCGCTGATGAGGCGCGCGTGCGGGTCAAGATCCGATTACGTTTGTCCGGCGGGTGTGCGAGGACTCTGCGATTACGAGCACCCTTACGCCGGCGAGAACCTGATCGTCAGTTGCGCTTGCTGCCGGAACGGAAGAAGCGGCGAGGACATCCCAGCGCTGCGGGACGAGTGCAGCGGCGGAGACGGAATCGATACCGTGCCGAGCAGAGAGCGCGAGGAGGTGCCAGCGACGTCGGCCGCAGATAAAAATGTATCTGCGAAAGCCGCCGAGCATGACAGGTCCGTCTTCGAGAGAGGCCCCGGCCAGCCCGGTTGCTCGCGCTGTTTATTTGTTTATTTACTGCATCGCCCACGCGTCGGTTTTTTCCGGCTAGCCCGACAACGGGCGAAACCGACGGCGGTTGTACTTGTTGCTGGCGAAACATGCTAGCGATATGCACTATGCGGAGTTGAATTTCAAAATGTACTCCGAGAAGGCAGCAACACACGGCTCGCGCGCGGTCGGTCGCAGCATTGTTACTTTCGCGCGCACCACTTCAAAGGCTCTCTCGATGTGGTTCTACAAAAAAAAAAAGAAAATAAAAAAGAGAAGAGACAGAAAAAGAAAAAACGCAGAAATGTAGCCCAATGCACTCTCATCTCTGAGAGTGCCAGCGGAACGAGAAAGCGCGAGACTACGATGCTGCGAGCCAGCATCTCCGCTAAACTGATCGCTGTTCACGAACGCAGGTGCGACATGGCACCAAGGGCAACGAGGGCCGAAGAGGAGGCTGCTAAAACGATGGAATGGATCTCGCGGTGCGCGCGCGGTTCAACGTTCTACCATCACCGTAAAGCGCGCTGCTCGTCGAGGCCGTGCTCGAGCTTGGCTACTGGCGGTCTAACGCGCGATGCATCCTTCCGAGAGAACGGCAGGATCGCGTCCGGCGAGTCCTCCGCCGACAAGGGCAAGGACTTTGCGTCATTGAGCTGTCACGGCACGTCCGTCGGTCTCGACGACGGCGTCGCGGAGAACGTTGTTACCAGCGACGGGCTTCGGACTCACAGTTCGAGTGCCGAGGACGCATGGACGAAACTGAATGCCTTGACGCCTCGTCGGAGGACCGCGGACTCGTCCTGCCGATGTCGATGCGAGGAGTCTCATCCGCGCGAGGAGCCCACGCCGGATCTGTCGGGCTCGTCGTGCGAGCATTACTGCGACGACGGCTGCCGTCATCACCGTCGCGACTGCTTCCATTGCTGTTGTCGGCTGAGTCGGCGCGACTCGTCCGCGAACGCGGAAGGATTGATGAGGTATTTTCTTATGACTTTGACGAGGGAACATAAGGAAGTCGCGAGTTCAAAAAATTCTGAAACTTTGTGTGGAAGTAAAGTAGCTTATCCGTAATGCAAAACTCTTTTTTGCTCGTGCGGAATTTCAGTCTGAGGGGATGAGAGACCACTCTTTGAAAAAAAACCATTTTCATTTTTAGCATACATCTTTCAAAATACGAGGCATATGCAGAAATGGTTTATGTGAAAGTTGTAGTGTATTTCATATTCTTTGTAATTGTGCATTCAGATTGTGCAAAATTGAAAAATTTCTGAATCCCCCTCCTCCCTCACAATTACTTTCACAAATTTTTAAGTTGTTCTTAGAACAAAAATAAAGAGCATATATTAAATTAATCTATATATAACAATAGAAATTGCAAGCGATTATATTTTTTAGAGATAGAGACAATTACATAGAGCTATAGGCGCTGCGCTGAAGATGCTATAGGTGCGTAGGCGCTTTTGAATTGCGCTGTACTCAATAACTGCGTCTTACTATCGAGTTGATGTTTTTCTATACTGCAAAAGAATTTAATCCTAATGACATTGCAATGTATTACACAAGATATGAACGAGAGCAGAGATTAATTTCTTCTTCTTGATGTGCCATATCCGATCTCGGACGTTGGCGATTTTTCTTTCAATATATATGCGTTGCGCATTTAAATTATCCATATTGTATACGGGACCTACAGTTTAACGACGATTCCAAATGGCAGTATTAGAGATTAGAGAGATTTTACTAGGCAGAGATACTCTCGGTGGTTTGCCATTGCCTTCCGAGAAGAGAGCGATCGTATACAATATTTGGGTTCTGCCGGGAAATTATTGACCCTAAGTGATCTTCGGCATTATAAACTAGTGCGCTGTCTATTATGCCACGCTCTCTCTTATTAATTTGCTTATGTAAAAATAGTAACATATGTGTGTCAGGGAATAAGGATGCTGCGGATAAGGACATATTATTCTATGTATGCTGACAAAAGCTTACCTTTTACATGAGATAATGGTCTTAATAGGATTCAAATGGTACTTTTAAAAAAATATTACTTCAATATTATTTACTTATCTGTATTACATGTAGTATGCTTTGTAAACACCGATAATCACACATTACTAGATAATTCATACGTTCTGCTATAGCTTTTGAAACAGCGATGGAACGGCAAATTAATGTTTAAGGATAGGTATGAAATAGCGTATGAATGCTAAAAAACGCAAAATCCTTTTTAATCGTGAAGAGACTAGATTGCCAATACTAAAAATCTGTAACACACACGAATATATAGCATACGTAAAATTTACAGGGTGTTTTAGAAAAGGGTTTGCAGGGGAGAGAGTATTCATTATACCGAGTAAAAAGTGTTTAGTAAATATAATCAGGAAATCGCCCCTTCCAGAGTTACAATCGTGTCTTTCGTCTTTGGTAACACGAATTTAACGAACGAATATCTTACCATATTAATACTTTAATGTTTACAGAAGATGTCTACTTGGTGTGTCCTCCTCCAAAAATTTTTAATCTTCCTCGAATGCTAAAAAACGTAAAATCCTTTTTAATTGTGAAGAGACTAGATACAAAAAAAAGAATAAAGTAAAAAGAATTGCCGTCTCTGAAATCGCGAAGATAGCGCAAACCGTGAGCAGGCCTGTCATCATACATCATTATACAGTTGCACAAATTGATCAATATTAAACGTTGTGCGTCAATAACTAAAGGCTGACGATTAGATTTTCGTATCGCATTGGAAGAAAGAGATATAGATAAAATCATTAGATGTATATAGCTTCAGATTATATACAAATTTTATTAAATATATTTTTGACACTGTCATGGTGTTAAATCTTGCAATTGATCTCCAAACTAAAAATAATATGTTGAAGATGCAATTATTGCCACATAATTATTTCTCGTCGCCCAGCTTCCAAAATTTACTTAAATATACGTGGTTTACAAATAGATAAGCGTACTGATAAAATCGACAGAGTACACCACTTTGTTTCGAAAGCTATTCGAATGTAACGTAAAAAAGTGAAGAAAATGAAGCATACACATGTTATTATTTTTATATAAGCAAATTAATCTTGTTCATATCTTATGCAGTGTTATTAGGATATTGCAATGTTATTAGGATTAAGTTCTTATCATCTTACAGTATATAGGAAAATACCAACTCGATAATAAGACGCAGTTATCGAGTATAGCGCAATTCAAAAGCACCTACCTACAGCGCGGCATTTATAGTTCTACGTAATTATCTCTATCTCTAAAAACTGTAATTGCTTTCAATTTCTATTATTATATATGGATGAATTTGATATATGATGCACTTTATTTTTGCTTTAAGAACAATTTAAAAATTTTTGAAAGTAATAGGAAAGGAGAAGGGGATTTCAAAAATTTTCAATTTTGTAAAATCTGAATATATAGTTGTAAGAAATATGAAATACACTACAACTTTCATATAAACTATTTTTGCATACAAATGTCTCGTATTTTAAAAGATATACGTTGAAAATAAAAATGTTTTTTTTTTCGAAGGGTGGTTTCACTTCCTCAGACTGGAATTCTGAACGAGCAAAAAATAGTTTTGCATTACGGATAAAATATTGGGTTGGAAACTAAGCGATTGCGGATTTTGTCGACAGATGGATTTTACACTTTCTTTTGTTTCGTTAACGTGTTCAAAGTACCTAACCTATATTTTTTTCTTATTGTTTAGACTTCTACCTTTCATTTAGTACAAAAATTATATCGATTAGTTCTTTAGTTTTGTTTTTATCTCAATTTAAAAATGGAAGAGCAAGACGTGCACTTCAGACATATTTTATTGTATTATTTCCGAAAAGGCAAGAACGCATCGCAAGCACACAAGAAGTTATGTGCCGTATATGGGAATGAAGCCTTGAAAGAAAGACAGTGTCAAAATTGGTTTGCCAGATTTCGTTCTGGTGATTTTTCATTGAAAAATGCTCAACGATCTGGCCGTCCAGTTGAAGTCGATGAGACCCATATCAAGGCCATTATCGATTCAGATCGTCGTAGCACAACACGTGATATTGCAGAGAAGCTCAATGTATCGCATATATGCATTGAAAAAAATTTAAAAAAGCAAATTAAAAATTTTGAATTTTCATTCTTATTTAAAATCCGCAATCACTTAGTTGCCAACCCAATATTTTACTTCCACTTCAGAAATTTTTGAATTTCCGAGTTTCCTATGTATCCCCCTTTGTGAGCTCTGATATATTATATATCAGGCAATATATTATATATTGATATATTATATAACGAATATATTCGTTGCCAATACTAAAAATCTGTAACACACGCAAATATGTAGCACGCGTAATTTATAGGGTGTTTCAGAAAAGGGTTTGCAGGGGAAAGAGTAATCATTATTCCGAGTAAAAAGTGTTCAGTAAATATGAATCAGGAAATCGCCTCTTTCAGAGTTACAATCATGTCTTTCGACTTTGGTGACAAATTTAACGAACGAATATCTTACCATATTAATACGTTGATGTTTACAGAAGATGTTTGTACTTTTGGTGTGTTCTTCTTCAAAAATTTCTAATCTTCCTTGAATTGGTTGCATTTCTATACGATAAATAAATTCGTTGAAAGTTTAATCGATTATATGGCTTCCTCGGTTTCTCGATTTGGGCCCATTAGATTACTTTTCTTGGAGATATGTTAAAAATTCATTTTTAACCCTATTGTATAATCACCAATATTGTATAACCACCGATAGCATTATATAGCTAGCCATTTTTAGACTCCATTATATTTTTCACTGATAAATAATATAATGTAAGAATTACACCGGAGAATCAAAGATACAGATGAACTGATTAATAAATAGTACATAACGAGTACTATTTAAAAGTCCAAAACCGTAAAACATTTATAACTGTTAAAGGGTTGAACTTTCGACCTACATTTACTAAGCACTTTTTATTCACTGTAACAGTACTACCTACCGTATAAATTAAACCCTTTTTTCAATTTTGTATAGCAACATAAAGTATATAGAGTTTCAGTTAGTGGCGGGAGAAATTGGAGCGCAGCCTAAGAAATTAATTAACACGGCGTCGCGTCTCATGTATCCTCGAAATATTATTTTACGAAATATCGTTGTTTAAAGAAGAAAAATACACACGACAAAAAGGTCGCGTGTTGCCGAAGAGAAGGAGAAGGCAAAAATTGCAACGCCGTGGTTATGATTGTTCTGTTTGATTCACGTCCTTCGCGCCATTCGTATTGTAGATGCGAGACGCGCGGTCGTATCTACGACGGGCTGGCTCAAAAGCACAAAAGCTGGCGCGATGGCGAGAGTCGATTGTACGCGCTACGCTCCTGCTCCAAGGACTTCGGTACAATGTCCGCCGATCGCGAGTACAAGGACGAAGAGCGCGAGAACCGGTCCAAGAACGAGGAAGAGAGGGATGAGGATGGGGCGAACGAGGACGACGAGGAGGAGGATGACGACAACGTGGCCGTTATCAATCACAAGGACTCCATGTGCATCCTCGCTGAAAAATATAAAGCCGGCAGGAGGTACCGCGGTGGAGGCTGCGAGGACGAGGCAGACAGGACGGGCGAGGACGCGTGTAACAAATCGTTGACTTCGAAAATCATCGATCAGCCGGAGCTAACTGAGAGTTTCATGAGCGCAGCCCTACGTGGGGACGCGAGCGTGAAACACGTTTGCCGAGCACATTGCGAGAGCTGCGGGACCGTGATCGCAAGTGCGTATAATCGCGGAGGCGGATACGTGCCGTCAGAAATTAAATACGAGCGACCGAAAGCCCCTTCGGGCGACCTGGCTAGCACCATTCGATGTTGCTCAATGCGGGCGCCTTGTAAACGCACCTTCTGACTTCGAGGCCGTCTCATGAACGTCTCTTTATGGATTTTTTACGATTTTCTCTTTTTTAGTTATTTTTAGCATTAAACGTTCACGCGGTGCGCCACGTCAGCGCGCCGCTGAACGGCAGGAAGGAGGGACGAAGGGGAGAGGGAAAGACGGGAATTAAAAATCAATTAGAATTTACCTCGATTTGGTTAATGCTTTTTATACGATGCAGCGGCGAGACGCCGCGCCGGCGCAATATCAAGCGCTGAAAATTTTTTTTCATGGGACAGTGCCCGCCCGGGGCGTACTAATGCGAAATAATGTAACAGGGTATTAAAGCACTAACTGTCGAGAATAAAAATTATGCAAATCAAATTTCGACGACTCGGCCGGGAACGGTTTAGCCCGCATCGGTCGAATGAAATTAACGTTACATAGGCGAAACAGTTAAGCTCGTTACGGTCGCACGCGTGCGACGGGACCGTTTCGTCCGAGAGAATTTTAAGCTCGCGCTGCGAAAGCGCATCACGTTAACGGAATTATCGAACGTAAGCATGTGCATTAAAGTGCCGCGGTATCTCCGGCATTCAGCGGCCTCCGGAAGCGGCGCTTTTTGCCCCGGCTACTCTCTCTCTTTCTCTCTCTCTCTCTCTCTCTCTCTCTCTCTCTCTCTCTCTCTCTCATTCTCTTTGTGCACCGGCCGCTTGTTGTCGTCTCCTGCTCCTTTGCTCGTTCCGCCGTAGTCTCCATGTTAATTGGCTCATCCAGTGCACTCAGAGAAGGATTCTACCGCTGCGTCCGCGCGCGCCACTTTCACCAGGCTCTTCGGTTACCCCTCACGCCAGATCCGCATCTGCTTCTCTGTCACGTTCCGCCATCACTTCGATCTCGTGACCTTCTTCCTGATCTCTGACTGTCGTGATGTCGTCCACCAGTTTGTAAGACGATTCGTCAAGTCTTTCCGGCTGCGTGACTTCCTCCTTTTCGTATCCTGTTTACACATCCGGTCGCATAATGCAATCGGATTAATAGTATGGATTAACAGTCGTGGCATGTTCAACCCTCTGTCGATCACATTAGGGAAATTACGTCAATAGTCGCAAAATCCAAAATTTTCCGGCTCGAAGATATAAAACAGATGGTAAAATGAGCCGACCATTTTCATTTTGTAACATAATCGTCTGTTATCTCAGCATATTTTTAGAAGGGTGAATTAATTTTTCTACTCTACTGCTAAATAAAAATTAAAAAAAGTATTCTGGAAGTTTGTCTTTAAAATGGTTCAACGTTGCGGAAGATTTTTCATCGCTGATAAATTTAGTTTCGGATGTAAATAGGATTTCAATTTTGAAAATGAAAAATCACCCATCCTCTACAGCCTCGATTTAATCCCTAGTGACTGCTTTTTATTTTCAAATTCGATTTGCGTAGTTATCGGTGTTGAAAGAATCTCCGTGGTATCAAACTATGCTAAAAGATAAAGGTACGAAACACATTTTTCACTGACGTAAACAAATTAATTCATCGTTATAAAATATGTGTTGAAATGAAAGGTGATTATATTACTAAATAAAATTGTCATTTCATTATCATATTTTTCATACCTTCGAGCTGAAAATTTTTTAATTTCACTACTCTGTCTCTCAGATGCTATCATATTCTAATTCAACTATCAACTGATTAAACCAACTTTTTACTTTGAGATATCTAGAAATGAATCCTGCTCATTACGGGAAGCAAGCACCGTGCAGAAGCATAATCTAGTTAACTACGTCGAAACAGGAAACAAAAATTTCTCCCTCCCATGTGCGTGTTATCTTAGCGTATATCTGACGGATACAACGACCCCGACGGAGCTAAAAATGCAATTCCAGCCGCTATTCCGTGACTGAATATCGTTTTCTAGAACGAGAATATTATCCTGTAAGCTCGACAAAGAAGTCACCGTCTTCCTCCGTTATGCAAGCGCGTGTCAATCGATTTCTGAAAGCGCGTTGAAGTTCTTCGCCGGCTTCTGCCAAGTCCTCTCGACTACCAAATTCCGCGGGGATGTTCACGCGAGATACGACTCTGTCGAGAACTCTGTGGTGCAGACTTTTGAGAATGGCTTCCACCACCATCGGCTTCGTCGATTCCAGCCGCGACACGTTATACGTGTTTTTCCTCGCGCGATATCGTTTGTAAGCTCTCTGCGGGATATTCATGAATATGAGCGTGATGTGCCATTGCGATGAAACGAGTAACTTATTTACTTGTATGACGAGAGCGGCTTCGTTGGCTCTCATCAACGTCAATCCTGATTCCTCGTACATCACGTCTAACCAGGCGACGGATTGAATGGTCTCGGTGGGCTCTATCGTGTCTAACTTGACTTCTTCCTCTTCTTGAGGCTTTGTTGTCACTACGAATAGGCAAGAGAGTAATCTTCTTCCCCCATACTCGGCGAAATATAAATTTATATATGATTATATATGAATTTTGTTTCCATATAGTCACGTATGCATATACATATAATTATATATGCTCACATTGAAAAAAATTTATAAATACAATTAAAGCAACTGCTTTTGCAATGTTTATGACAGTCCGTGACGTAAATGTTTATTCGAATGGAACAATCTTCTTTTTCTTTCATATTTAACAATGTTTTCTTCATTGTAGAAATATATAATTTCATACAACATATATATAGACACACATATACAGGATGTCCCATTTTAGAGTCAGACAAAAATCTCGAAAAATATGAAAGATACTAAGAAACGTTTTAGACAAAAGTATGGTTTTAAAGGGGATATAAAAAATAGAAAACAACTATATTATTTTATAGATGACGCCACTTTTGAGATATTCACTGATCTCATTTTTTCTCATTACTTTTCTTAAACGGAAATCCTAATTTTTTATTATATCATCTTTTTCTACCAATTAATTTGAATAACTTTTGTCTGAAACAATTTTATTCGCTTAATATTTTTTAAGATATTTAAAGAAAACTTTGTAACTTTTTCAAAATTTAACTTACTATATCTCGTTAACTATGTCGAAAGAAAGCTACTTTTCGAAAGAAAAAAGACTTTTTTACTCTATTTAGTTTCAAGAATATATTGTTACGATAGTGCTCTAACTTTTGTTAACTTATCGATCTTTGGAAATTTCAAAATTATCAAATGAATAAAAGTAGCTACAGATGTGAATATATTGAATTTTGAACTCCAAATTTTGAACCTGTCGCTAGGCCATCATATAATTATAGATAGCCATCATATAATTGTAGACTACGTTATTCCGAACACAAATGTTCTTTACCATTTCGCAAATAAGTGCGCAAATTTTCAAGTTATCAATTAAAAGAGCTTCTAGATGTGGTCATTTTCAATCGTTAATAACTTAATAACTATTATGATTTTTGCAAAATGGTACTTGACTTTTCTTCTCAGTTTGATCTTGATTAATCTTCATAATTTTTTGTTTCCAAAAGATCCCGGACACCCTGTATATGAGTTTAAATAATCATATATAATTCTTTCTGATCGGACATACACAAAAACACGAGAACAAACTTCGATGGCGATCTTACTCGTTTTTATCTTTAAATTTCTCCTCGTGTAGTACCCGCGGTAAGTGGCCTATAAGGGAATCGTGATGAATAATACACAATGACCATTAATATAGTATGTTAATAAACGTATGAACGATATCACGCCTGTATCAAAATGGCTGCGTTTGAAGCCTCCGCCTGCGAAGCTCCGGCTTTCCTGAGGATCTCGAGGGTCCTCTTTGCCGCTCGTTGCCACTGAATCACACCCTGGGACTCGTTCAGCAACATCCTCTCGTAGTGTCCGCGGAAAGCGGCCTGGTCGACAATGAGAACGGCTTAAAGAGCCGCTAAAGATCGGCTAGAGAGACCTGTCGCACCTGTATTATCGTGGCGGCATGCTCCGCCTGTTCAAGCGGGACCCCAGTGGCTCGCAGGATACTTTGCAGAGACACCTTGGACTCGTCCTCGCAAGCGCAAGCTGCGTCTGCGGCCGAAAGGGAGGGATTTGCAGTTCGTCCATCGCGCTGCGAGATTGCTATTCTATGTGTAATTTAGCGGGTAATTACCATCGCATACCTGGACCGCTTGCGTGTCTACCGCGTCTAAATATGCGCCGAACGCTCTCTATAGGGTGAATAAAAAGATACTCCCGGAAATTAATATTATTATTTTGCCAGACGCGAAAATCGCAGCCTTATACCTGAATCTTAGGCGCGGCGCGGGCGATCTGCTCCAAACTTAAGCCGCTGCGATAAAGAATAGCCACGATGGCCTGGCTGTTCAGTAGAATATTGTTTACGACTTTCACCGCGACTGCAAGACAATTACAGGCGATTATACGGGATGGATGATGTATGATGCGCGCGGATTTAGTCGTTTACGATTATTGCGCATGTTATCTCGCGACGTCGCGAACGATATACGCGCGCGGTTATTTTCTACAATCTGCGGATTTGCATGATAATTTATAAGACGCGTATACGTGTGACGAATAGATGTGCGTGCGCGTGTGAACCTCTCTCTCCCTCTCTCTCTCTCTCTCTCTCTCTCTCTCTCTCTCTCTCTCTCTCTCTCTCTCTCTCTCTCTCTCTCTCTCTCTCTCGTACGTGTAGATATTATTGTAATTACATAATGTTCTAATCAGCATATGTCTGTCCAATTCTTGGAATAACAACATTGAGGCATGACAAAATCGCCACAAACGACGCGGTACCTTTCGCATTCTCCCGCGTGATCAACAGTGCCTCCACATAATCGGCGATGAAGCAATAAATATTCCTTGGCTGCGAGCGTAGAACCTTTTGGGGTTAGATAATCATTTAATCATCCTTTGACTTGACGGCGTTAAAAGAAAAGCCAAAAAACAATTTCATAGAATGAACCTCGCGTGCGATGTCGGAACATAGTTCGCGCAATCCTTCCGGGATTTTGACTGTGTGTTTAGCCCCGTGTTTCTGAAGTAAAACGTTCATTTTCGTGATTATTGCCTCAGTTACCCGAATTTATCGACTTGCTCTTATCGCTTGGTTATACGACACGCGGAAAGTTGCTAACTTTTGGCGGCATAACGAGCGCATGCTTGTCGCCGTTATGCCGCCGAATAGCTCTGACGAGCTATTCTCGAAAATATATGAAAAATATTGTATGCGATATTTCATCAATGGGGAAATTTAATTGGTTGGGAATCGTAATATCTAGTGATATTCGTGAAATATACGACATTTTTCAAGAATACGGGCCCTGACGGAAATTCAAGTGCACTGAGCAGCGAGATATCGGCTATCCCGGGAACGTCGACGTAAGATTGTTGAAAGTACGAAAACTCGCTTCCATCGAGCCAGCACCAACTGCTAAAATGTCGAAGTTTCATCCGCGAAATCGCGATCCGGCGATGACGGAATATTTTTTAATCGCAGACACCTGCGACATCGCGACATGCTTCCTCGTATTTCAATATTATTCCATGCGGATCTCTCTACGAAAAGAGAGAAGCGCGGCAGCTATTAAGCCGATAATGTTATTCCCCCGAGTGCTTTTTCCGGCGCCAATACGAATCCTCGTCGCCGTTAGTGAAATAATCCGTGGTGGTTCATCGTGGGATATTCCGCATGACCTTCCACACAAAGGTGTCGATTGGGCCTCGCCGCGGAAGCCGCGGTCAGTTTCTCGTTGGCTGGGAGAGCGACGGTCGTCATGTAGAAACGTCTGCAGTTATGAACGCGCGTGCTGTATTGTCGATATCTCTGTCGTTGCTGGCTTTATTGCCATCGCGTGAGTAGCTTACATAACGATCTTCATTCCACGCTGCTGCTGCTGCTGTTGTTCCTGACGAAACGGTCGCGCTCCGCCGAGCTCTGTGCCGATGAGTGACCGTCGGACTGCAAAAGTTCGCAACTTCGTGCGTTCATACGTTTTAATCGTGAATTTCACGTCGCGATCTGACGCGTTTCCGCGCCGCGAGCGACCGACCGTGTCGTGTCGTCGGTCGGGCAGTGATATCGATGGTGCCTCGAAATATGTTTTCGGCAATTATATATGACCTGTGGATGTCAGGATCCTGACATCCCGATATGTCGAGTTAACCTTTAAACTGATACGTTTGCAAAAATCACACTGATGGTAATGTTGGTCTCGCAGACCGCTATCATGTTTCCACTAATTTTTGAAATTTTTTATGATGAAAAATGTATGTTTTCATTTATCCTGAATGTTTGCGGACGGAAAATGATTTCTAATGTTCTAATGTGAAAATTAGTAAAAAATTTCATATACAAAAAATTAAAATATATTTAAATAATGACAAACATATTTCATGCAGAGATGTTTCAATGTGAGTGTTAGTAAAAAATCTCTAATACAAAAGAAATAAAATATATTTGAATGACCCCTTACAAAATTATTTCACCGTTTTCAGCTCTCAAAAATCGATTTTGATTGTAAATTTGAGTTGTAAAAAGTGTGCATTCATCTCAGCGAGTATGACACCGTTTTTAGATCGGAAAGGGGCAGTTTTATTTAAACAGTGAATGGTGAAAACGGATTGTCGAATAGTAAAAACGAGTATATTTGTGTAATAAAAACGTAAATATAAAGTGTATTTTTAAGCAGACTGCCCGTCTTTAACACTCTTTTTACAGCTGCGAGTAACAGCACGTTAATATGTATATTTTTACTCAATTTATTTCAATGTCTTGAGTAAAAGAGGTACGTATTAACGTGCAGCACTCATCAGCTGAAAAAAGAGTGTTAAAGACGGGCAATCTGCTTAAAAATACTTACGCATACTCGTGCATATTCGCGTATACTCGTAATTTTTCGCTCTATACGCTACGCGGGCTTGAGAGTGCAAGAAACGGACATCACAATGAAGAAACGGGTAAAAAAACGGGCCAAAAACGGGCCAAAAACGGGCAATATAAGGATAAAAACGGTGAAATATTTTTATAAGGGGATGGCAAACATGATTTAGCATTAAGTTGCGTGAATCTAAAACTGAAATAAAATATTTCATTTCGATAATTAATTAGCTCAAATCAAATTGATTAAACTAACAAAAATAAAAATATAAAGTGTTATTTATTATATAGTTTTATATTATAAAACTATATTTTTTTAGGAACTGTAGACAAAGTGACGCCTCGCATTTTGCGTATTTATATTTTACGTTTTACGTTTTAATTTATCATTGCACAGTATGTATATTTCTCTTTTCTTGAGAACATCCGTTGATCATGTCTCTGCGGCTTATCTATTGACATTAATTATTTACTGCGAAAAAATTAACGCGAACCCGGTCTATGAGACCGCTACAATTTTTTATCCATCTTGTATTATACGTTTTCAGTTAACGGCAATGAGACCACTATAACATTGATGAATATCACATATGAAGGTACTCTAAGTTTAGGAGTGCCTTTTGCGGATATCGAGAAAGTTATTGATAAATAAAGTTTCAATAATTATCTGTGAGATATATCAGTTTAAAGGTTAATGTCGCTCACGTTAAAGTCTCGACAGTTTCCTCATTTATTTGCGCTCAAAATAAACATGGAGATAGTAATTTCTATGTGGCCACGTAAAAAATGTCGAACGAAATATTCCGCGACGTCGCACGTTAATATCCAAGCTGACGGGTTTACGAACGGGGCTACGAGTTTTTTCGAATGATTATCGAATTCTTATTGCTCGATAAGCGGAATCAGTCACGAGGAATCTCATCGATCGGCCAGTCGACTTGGGAATCCCCGGACTGGGATTTTTGTAAAATTTTTTTCTTCCTCCGCACGTATATCTTCTTCTATCTATAAACAAAACTCGGACAGAATGTAATTAGAACGTAGATTAAACTCTGCTTTTTCCAATCTTTTAGACTCTACTTAAATATTTCGTTTTCCACTCGACTTCTACTTCGACGTTAGCGAAATCTTTTCGTTAGATGAACGACGTTATAACCCCTTACTCGTGTATTTGATAGAATATCTTGTGAAGACCAGTCGATAGCATTCATGCAAAGATTTACATTTTCAGCGTCTGTACAAGATAATGCATGGTACGATTCCCTATACAAGGCACCTGGTCAACTGGTGGAAGCCGTGAATTCGGCATCGGGGATTGCGACATCCTTGAATCTGGGTACTTCATTGGGCGGTTCTAAATGGGGCGCGGGCGCGGGCATCAGTTTTGCCGGGTCACAGAGTCACAGTAAACCGGGTAACAATAAAAATGGAAGAGGACCACCAGGTGGTCTTCCTCCCGGATTATCAAATGGAGGCCCTCCGGGGTTAAACGGTAACCTTCCTCCGGGCTGGAACAAAGGAAACAACGAGCGGCCAGCCGAAAATGGACCTTACACAGATACAAGTACTGAAAAGTTCACCGATGAATCTTTTGCTAACAATAATAATAACGGTCCTCGCGGCCCGGATAATCGCGTGCCGAATCAAGACGAGAGACCACAAGTCAACGGACAATGCAGGTACGCTCGATCGTCTATAGTTAACGAATTATAAATTTGGTAACGTGACACCGGGGAAACCCATTTATTGATGATGAAAGAGGGTAGGAAGAAGGAGAAGGGGCAGGATGGGAAGATTAAGTGGCATGCATATAATGAGAACGTTTCATTATCATATTAAAACAGGAACGACCAGTTTCGCTGTGGGAGCAACGAGTGCCTGCCATTAAGTGTCAAATGCGACGACAAAATTGATTGTCGTGATTCCAGCGACGAGGCATCTTGCATTACGTAAGTCGAAGATCTGCTTGCACAAACGTATCTCTGCAACACATGCGTGTCCGATAATTTATTTCCACATAAATCCATTAGTGAGCCATCCTCGCTCGGGCCTTGTGCTTCTCTCTTCAGGTTTCTTCGTTCTTACAACTTCCACTGAATACTAAGCTCCCGAATCGATAATTTTCTCACACGCATTCGTGGAATTGCAGCAACAGAAATAACGAAGAGAACGCCTTACCTGGATCCTGCGTCTTACCTGAGCAGCCTCTGGGTGGACGTTATAAGTTGGGTGGATGCGAAGAGCAATGCCAAAAACATCCCGGTGACACGGTCCCGAAAAATAGCATTCTCACCTACAGCTGTAAGGACAATTACGTGCTGAAGGGAAACAACATTTCCGTTTGTGTCGACAGCGAGTGGTACGCACTGCCCTCGTGCCGCAGTGAGTGTCTCTTCTTGACCGTAGCGCTAGCCGTTTCGAAGGCGATCGGACGAACAATTTTTTTCTGTACTTTGAGTTGATTTAACACGAGGACTTTATCGCACAATCGCTAAAATGAATGTTTTTATATAGAAGCGACGCTCTTCTTATTCGGACGTCGGATGGTAAAATTTATCGCTCACCTCGTCCGATGTTTATTTCTGCAGAGATCTGCCCGACGCTGAGCAGCACCAGCGTAGACATCTCCTGCAGTTATCAAGGAGAAAAGGTGTCCTGTAGCGAGCGTGTACTGCCTGGTACCCGAGCCAAGCTGTCCTGTAAATCATCTTATAAATTACCTTTAACGAACGATCCGGCTTACAGGGAGATCACGTGTCTCGACGATGGTTTATGGGATCGTCCCGTTTTTCGCTGTCTACCAGGTGAACGTTATTTGTCATCCCCCATGCTTCCGATACGAGGCGCGAACGGAAAAGTCTCGACAAATTGAACGGTTCCCGTGTACGCGTGCGGCACCGCCGCTTATTAATAACTTTCACCCTGCCCCGCCTCCCCCCCCCCCACCTCGTTTCCGCCCGCGCTTTTTCTCACGGCATATAGTTGCCCTTCGTCCCTCATCTCTCGACTCGTCTCCTCATCTCTCCGAATAATCACACGCATACCCGCGGTCGTATTTTCGAGACTTTTCCGTGCGCAGTCGTCGCCGATGTCGTCATGTCGCGAAGACACTAACAATGGTTTTTCCGCTCGACCAGAATGCGGCACATCCATCGCGCATGGTAACACCCTCATTGTAAATGGATTCGAGGCCAAAGTTGGGGTGTTCCCCTGGCACGTCGGTATCTATAGAAAGAATGCCAACATGAAGCACGAGCAGATATGCGGCGGTTCCCTCGTCAGCAACAACCTCGTCGTCTCAGGTGAGTTAGCACGAATGAGCAAACTTATTTCCCCGCCCTCATCGCTCGTTCTTATCATCTCTCATTCTCTTTCTCTCTCTCTCTCTCTCTCTCTCTCTCTCTCTCTCTCTCTCTCTCTCTCTCTCTCTCTCTCTCTCTCTCTCTCTCTCTCTCTCTCTCTCAAATCATTTCCGTATTCGCAGCGGCACACTGCTTCTACGACGAGGCTTTCGGCAAACTTCACGACGCCTCGAATTACGCTGTGGCCGCCGGCAAACACTACCGCGCTTGGGATGTCAACGAGCAGTACACGCAAAAATCGCTGGTGGAGAGTGTCAAATTGGGCAGCAGATTCTTGGGGGCGAGGGGCAACTTCGCCGAGGACATAGCTCTGGTGAAGCTGAAGACGCCTCTAGAGCTGAGCACGCTGGTGCAGCCGATCTGCATGGATTGGGAAAACGTTTACGAGTGGGAACAGTTACGAATGGGACAATCCGGCAAGGTAACTACAGCGAGTATCAATCGCGAGAAAGCCGAACGACTGGACGTCCTCAGGCAGTTTAAGATTAATTACGCGAGGGCGTTTCCGAGCTGAACGCGATTATGCACATGCAGGAAGCTGATCGTTCTGGAAGATATCGTCACGACACGACGTTTTGAAGGAAACTTTGGCTATGTGTACATGGATGCGCGTCGTTACGTTGTGCCCATGTATTAATTAATCGTGTCACGTCGCCCATGTCGCAGATTTGCACATTTATACACATGAGATAGCACTAAATAGCACGAGATAGCGCTAAATTTATATCCAAACGGACGGGTTATGAAATTCTTGCGGGCGGCAAAAACACGGCGAAAATCCAGCGCGAGGGAAGTAGAGGGTGGGCATCAAATATAACGAGAGGATAAAACGATAGTGGGTTCACACATGATGATTTCAGGTAGTCGGCTGGGGCAGAAACATCAACGGCGAATCCACCCAGACTCTGTTCGAAGTTGACATGCCGTTCGTGCCGTACTCTGAGTGTTTGTCCGCAGTACCAGTAGATTTCCGCGGGTACCTCACGTCCGACAAGTTCTGCGCCGGCCGCTTGAACGGTGAGTTGAACAATATGCGTGAATAATTGCGCGGAACTCACTCGTTTGTCGGGTCGCGCTTGAACTTTCGCTAGATTAGCGATTCTACGATACGACATTATCGTATGTGCATGAAGAATCAGTTGATGGATAATGGATAACGAGGTAATGAAGTAACAAGCGAATAGATATTAACTTCAATGGTATGTGCATTGCGCTTCGTTGTTGGAACTTCGTTAGAACCTAGAAAAGAAAGATGTATGAGATGTAAACGTGATGAAAATAATGACTTGATTGCCAGGGTCGAGCGTGTGCGAAGGAGACAGCGGTGGCGGCCTGTGTTTCCAGAAGGATGGGGTTTGGTACCTTCGTGGTGTCGTAAGCGTGAGCCCGGTGAGAGATGGTCATTGCGATTACAACTCATATGTTGGATTCACTTCCATCAGCCACTTCCGTGATTGGATTCGCGAGGCTTACGTCAGTGCGTAAACGTGTAGAGGGACGTCGGTTGTCCGAAGCACGAAATGTGTAACCGGCATCATATCGAGCTTGCAATTATGTGAAATGAATGAATGTGACGTATGAATGACATAATAACAGTGACAAAAGCCTGAGAAGCAACCATCGCCTTGCGTCTTTCACTAAATACTCCGGCAATGTCGAGATGGACAGAGGCGCGCAAAGGACGGGAAAGAAGATTCGAAGATTTCCGTGATTGAATTCGTTTTAATATTACATATTGAATAAACATCTAAACTGAATGATGTATCTTTTTCTTTAACTTCTTTGCATGTACAATCGCTCGACTGCCACCTCTGATTTTTATAACACTCTGGACAAATTTATGCAAAGTGATTTCGGAGACCACATCGCACGGATGATAATTCTTTCGTCAGTAAGATTCTATAAATGTGGTGTTTTCTATGTTTTAATATTTCACTCGTAGTATGTATGTCAGAAACGATCAAGGGCAAGCATGCAGACCGGTTTCACGCTGTTTTGATATTCCACGCATCTCTTGTTACCATTTGATATTCGTCAAATATTGCTAAACGTTAATCAACAAGTCAAAGCCACTTTCAATAAGTTTCTTCTACCTCATCATGTGTATTGATTAACCTTTCTCCTTTCGTTAATATCTCAAGATTTTACATGCTTATTTGCGAAATAGTAGAAAATATTTTTTCTTCAGTTTGATCTAACTTATGATTGCACATGGCGATTATGTTTTGTATTTATAAATATCCTGAATATACAGAGAAAAAAAGGTCGGGCACTGTGAATAATTTTGAAAATATGCAAGATAGAAAGAAATATTAAATATAGAAGTTATATGGTTTTAAGTGATACACCGTATAGCAATACTAATATGACCTTGAATAGGCGTCATCAAGGCTTCGGAAAGATTACTTTGAATTTTTTAAACGGAAACTCCTTTTTCTTATTATATTATCTTTTTTTATTATCTTTTTTATATCATCTTTTTCTTCCGATTAATTTGAACAACTTTTGTTTAAAACATTTTTTAGCTAATATTTTTTGAAACATTTAAGGAATACTTAATAATTTTTTCGATATTTTCGATATTTGGCTTACGATAACTCGGTAACTATTTATCGGAAAAAAGTAATACTAAACTGTTTTACAATACTAAACTTTTTTACAATACTTGGCGTCAAACATACATATGTTGCTACAATAGTGCCATAACTTTTGTTAACATGATGATTTTGAAATTTACAAAGATTATCAAGTTAACAAAAGTTAGGGCACTATTATTACAATATATTCTTGAGACCAAATAGCTAAAAAAAAAAGATATAAAAAGCTTATGATATCTCGATAATTATCTATCAGAAGAAAAAATAGTATCACTTTTTCTTCCGACAAACAGCGAGATAAGCTAATTACCGTAAACCAAATATTGAAAAAATTATCAAGTTTTCCTTAAATATCTCAAAAAATATTAGGCAAATAAAAAAATGTTTCAAACAAGTTTCAGGAAAGTTGTTCAAATTAAAAATTGGTAAAAAAAGATGATATAATAAAAAATAGGGGCTTTCATTTAAAAAATTCAAGATGACCTATTTCCATAACCTGATGATGCTATTCAAGGTCATACTAGTATCGTTATGTAAAGATCCATTTAAAATCCTACAACTTCTGTATTTAACATTTTTTCCTATTTTGCATATTTTCAAATTGCGAGAATGCTTTTGCAATCGGACACGAGTACCGCGCATATAAAAAACTAAGCGTTGGTAAATATATTATATTGACGCGATATCCAATTAAATTTTAGTCATGCGCATGTCGGTGTGTATCGTTATATCGTATCAATGTTACTTAATCGTGTCACATATTCATTTCGTTTATATGCCCGTATTCGTAAATCATAAGGGGACATTTGCATTTAAATGTATCGGTTATCTAATTTTCGCGAAATACACGATAAAGGTCCCAGAGCTTCGTCAAAAGAGAGAAAAATGGAAATTAAATATAAAGAGAAGATAAATACATGGGTTCATGATAGTAATTTCAGATGGTCGTGTGGAATGAAAACATCAACGATGAATCTAACCAGACTATGTACGAAATTGACATGCCATACGTGTCGCATTTGCAATGCTTTTTTGAGAGCCCTGTAAACCTTCACAAATTTATCACGATGGATAAGATGTGCGCCGGACTTTTGTACGGTGAGAATCTATCCGCGCAAATGATTGCGGTAGATTCATTCGTGCTTGTTATGTCTTATTTGAACTTTCACAAGGTTGATGCGAGATAATTGTAAATTGAGAATGGATAATGAAGTAAAAATATAACAAGATAATGAAAGGATAGTTATTAGCATTGATGGTGCGCGATTATGTTTTATTGTTATAAAGCTGAGAAAAACGCGTGTTTTCAATTCCTTAGTATTTGGTCGATATAAATATGATGAAAATAATCAAACGATTATCAGATTCAAGCCTCTGCAGTGAAGATGGCGGTAGCGGCCTGTACATCCAGAAGGAGAGAGTTTGGTATCTTTTGGGTGTCGCCAGTGTCAAATATGGGAATAACGATGGTTGTGCTTACGATCCATATGTTCTATTTACCTACATCAATTATTTCCGTATTTCGATTGGAGCGGCTTAAGATAGTGCGTAAACGTGTAGAGGGACGTTGGTTGTCTGATGCACGAAATATGTAGCCGGCATTATCAAGCTTGCAATTATATGAGATGAATGAACGTGATGTATGAGTGACATAACAGTGACAAAAGCCTGAGAAGCAACCATTGTATTGCGTTTTTCATTAAATACTCTGACAATATCTTAATCAGGTGACAGAGGCGCGCAAACGGGAAAGAAAATTCGGAGGTTTCGAAGGAAAGTAATTGAAATCAATTTAATATCATATATTGAATAAATACCCAAGTTGAACGGTATATCCTTTTCTTCACCTCCTTTGCATACACAATTGCTCGACTGTCACCTCCGACTTTCTATTCTACACATGTATTCTAATATGAGTATATTTACAAATAGAATCCCCAACGCAAAATGCTTTAAGTTTAGAAGAATATGTGTATATACATCTATATACGCGTGCGTGCGCCCAAATATACATATATTCATTCGGGTTAGAGATGTGAGAACTATTCGAATTCGAATCGAATCGAATACGATGATACGAGATGATTGTGAGTTGGCAATGGATAATGAGGTAATAATATAACAAGATAATGAAAGGATAGCTGTTACTACTGATGGTGCACGATTACGTTTCATTGTTATAAAGCCGAGAAAAACGCGTTTCCAATTCCTTAGTATTCGGTCGATATAAATGTGATGAAAATAATCGGACGATTATCAGATTCAAACCTCCGCAATGGAGATGGCGGTAGCGGTCTCTATACCTCGGACGGATTCTGGTATCTTCGTGGTGTCCTCAGTGTCAGATACTGGAATATCGATGGTTGTGCTAACAACTCATACGTTGGATTTACCCACATCGATTATTTTCTTGATTGAATTCGCAAGGCTTACGACAGTGCGTAAACGTAGAGGGACATCGATTCGATGAGGCACGAAATATGTAACCGGCATCGTATCGAGTTTATAATTATGCGAGATTAATGGATGTGATGTATGAATGACATAACAATGACAAAAGCCTGAGAACCATTGCATTGCGTCTTTCGCTAAACTTCAGCAATGTCGAAATAGAGAGAGGCGTGTAAACGGGAAAGAAGATTCGGAGATTTTCGTGATTGAATTCACTTTACATTATATACTGAATTTATATACATTATATACTGAATTTATATACATTATATACTGAATAAATACTTCAGTTGAACAATATATCCTCTTCTTTATCTCCTTTGTATATCCAACCGCTGGACTATCACTTTCGATTTTTGCAGCTTTCTATTCTACATTTTGATATAAATATATTTACAAATAGAATGCTCAACATACGTAGAATGCTTCAAGTTTAAAAAAAACGTGTGTAGATACATTTATATACGCGTGCGTGCGTTCAAATACACATACATTCGAGTATTTATGTGTATATACACATCGATATGTTTTCTCATTATACTGCATGATGTACGGAAATCCCAATTTTGAACGGCTGTAGCTCGGAAATTGTTCATTACATCAGGTCTAGTGACACTTTTGATTACACTTAAGAACTATCATATAGCAAATTTTTAAAAAATATAAGCAAAAACTGTTTCCCATAAGGATTCTACGGGGTTATAATATTATATGTTATAACGAGTTATAACATTATGTGTTATAACGAGTTATAACATTATGTGTTATAACGAGTTATAATATCGGACTGTCTAGTTGATGGATTTAAATCGAAAAACGTCAATCGAATGAGGAAAGTATTATTTCTCGATCTAGTAGTGTGGTTTTCCTTAAGTTATCTTCTGTAAGCACCAATTATGGCCGCTATTGATCAATTAATTCGTGATTCACCATGATATATATAAGGCGATTTTCTGCACGAAGGCCTCAATATTCGCGTATTCACGGCAGTTTCTCGCTGATTTCGAGAGAGAAAATCGCTTTGTGCGAAAGTCTGCAGATATGAATACGCGCGCTGCATTGTCGATAGTTCTGTCGCTGCTTATTTTACTACCATCATGTGAGTTACTTAATATTATTATTATTATTGAATGTGCGATGATGTACGTCCGTTAAATTCACGTTACTTACACGTTGATCTCCTCCCCATTTATTTGCGTTTAAAATAAAAATAAAAGTAGATACGTGAGAAATTTGAAACGCACATATAAAAAAATTGATGGCATTAGTCAGAATATGAAGATAAATTCATCGATTTAAAATTAATTAGGACGTAAAAAAATATGAATACAATAATCAGATTATTTGATGCAATATGAACTACCCAGAATTTTGATTAAGTTAACCAGATTTTGGTTGCATAGGTCCTGTGAAAGATAATTAGATAAATTTATATGAATGAAACCACAAAGTTATGTTCGTATTTTTGACCAGAGAATTTCTTTACCTTTTTAATTGAATTTCTTTCATATGATATTAGTATTTTCTTTCCAATTTCCAAACCAATTCCAAATCATTCAAATACCTTGATCATGTACTTAATTACCCTATTAAAATTTTCTCACCACATGAACCGTCCTAAAGTTCTTCTATTTATGTATATGATAGAGCGACCTTCACAGATTAATCGATAGCATGCACGCAAAAATTTACATTTTCAGCGTTCGCAGAAGCTAATCATTCCGCTGAAGTAGAATGCGGCAAATACACGAGATACGACAGAGAGCTAATTGAGAATGGAGGCAAGGTTATATCGACGGTGTTCCCTTGGCATGTCCTTATCTACTTAAAAAAAAGGGACATGACATACATTCAGATATGCGGTGGTTCTCTCATCCGCAACAATCTCGTCGTCTCAGGTGAGTTATTGAGCGGACAAATTTCTCCCTTATCTTGCTTTTAATCTTTCTCCTTTTCTTCTCTTCATTCACAGCGGCTCATTGCTTCTATGACGAGGACTCAAGACACGTTAAAAATGCATCGAGTTTCGTTGTGGCAGCCGGCAAGCGTTATCGTGCCTGGGATGCCGATCAGCAGTACAGTCAGAAGTCATTGGTGGAGAGCATCGAAGTGAAAGATAGATATTTGGGCCTGGCAGGTAACTTTATTATGGACATAGCCCTACTGAAGCTGAACACGCCGTTTGAGCTAAATATGCTGGTACATCCCATCTGCATCGATTGGGAAAGGGAAAACTTGTACGAGAGAGATCCGTTGCAATCGCAACTTAGCAAGGTAATGATAGCAAGTATCAATCGTACAAAAGCCGATTTCGCTATTGGGCGAATTCATGCAGTTTACTTAACGTGAGGATGCTTTTTGCAGCCGGACACGAGTATCGCGCATATAGGACGTTAATCGTTGTTAAATACATCATAATGACGCAATTTCGAATCGAACTTTAGTTATGCGCATGTCGACGTGTGTCATTACGTCATATCAATATTACCTAAGCGTGTCATACGTCTATTACGTTTACACACTCATGTTCGTAAATCATAAGGGTACATTTGTATCTAAATGCACCGGTTATCTAATTTTCGCGAAATACAGAACGAAAGTCTATTGTCAAAGAGAGAAAAATGGGAATTAAATATAAAATGAGGACAAATAAGTGAGTTCAGGGTCGTAATTTCAGATGGTTTCATGGAGTAAAATCATCAAAGACGAATCTAATCAGAGACGAATCATCAAAGACGAATCTAATCAGACTTTACACGAAATTGACATGCCGTACGTGACGTACATGCAATGCAAGGCTGAAAGCCCTAGAGATGTTCATAGATTTCTCACGGTGGACAAGTTCTGCGCAGGCCGTTTGAATGGTGAGTATTTATCAGCGCAAATAATTGTGTTAGTTTCATTTGTATTTATTTTGACTCGTTTGAACTTTCACAAAGTTGATACGAGATAATTATGAGTTGGCAATAAATAATGAAGTAATAATTTGACAAGATAATGGAAGAATAGCTATTACCACTGATGGTGCGCGATGATCTTTCATTGTTATAAAGTCATGGAAAACGCGCGTGTCCAATTATTTAGTATTTGGTCCATATAAATGTGATGAAAATAATTAAATAATTATCAGATTCGAGCACCTGTAATGGAGATGGCGGTAGTGGCCTGTATATTAAGAAGGGAGAAGTTTGGTATCTTCGCGGTATCGCCAGTGTCAAATTCGGGGCTTTCGATGAATGCAACTCATACAGTGGATTCACCAACATCAATTTCTTCTATGATTGGATTCGCAAGGCTTACGACAGTGCATAAACGTGTAGAAGGACGTCGGTTGTCCGATGCATAACATATGTAACCGGCATCGTATTGAGTTTATAATTTTGCGAGATGAATGAGTATGAATGACATAACAGTGACAAAAACTTAAAAAGTAACCATTGCACTGCGTTTTTTGTTAAATATTCTTATACCGCTATATATTCCTTATTGCTTTATACTTCTATACTGCAATATCGTAATCAGGTGATAGAGGGGCGTAAACGGAAAAGTGGGTTGGAGGATTTTCGTGATTGAATTCTGTAATAGTATGTATTGAATAACTACCTAAGTTGAACGACATATCCTTTTTTTATCTTCTTTGCATACACAATCGCTGGATTGTCACTTACGTTCTTTGTAACTTTTTACTCTGTATATGTACTATGATATGGGTACAAATTTTTGAAAAATATAACAAATTTTTAAAAAATTTAGCCGAAAGCTATTTTTCATAAGAATTCTGCGGGATTCATTGTGCACAACGTGACTTCGGAGAATACATCGTTTTTTGCATAAATGGTAATCCTTTAGTTAGTAAAATAAATATAAAATAAATGTGTTTTGTATATTTTAACATTTCATTCACATTATGTATTTTTAATGTCAAACTTGATTAAGGCCAAGAATGCAGTCCGGTTTCTCACTGTTTTCATATTCCATTTCAATTTCTACCGTTTGATATTTATCTAATATTGTTAAGAGATAATCAACAAGTCAAAGCCACTTTCAATAAGTTTCTCTTACTTTATCATGTGCATTGATTCACCTTTCTTTTTTTGTTAACATCTCAAGATTTTACATGTTTGTTGCAAGATAGTTACACACGGCAGTTGTATCTTGAATTTACAAATATCCTGAATATATAGGCTGCCTAGTATCTTTTGGAAACGAAAAATTGTGAAGGTTAATCAGATCAAACTGAGAAGAAAAGTTATGTACCATTTTGTAAAAATCACAATAGTTACTAAATTATTAATGATTGAAAATGGCCATATCTCTGAGGCTCTTTTAATTGAATAACTTGAAAATTTGCGTACTTATTTGCAAAATGATAAAGGACCTTTTTGCATAGAATAACCTAATCTATAGTTATATGATTATTATGTCTAGCAATAGATATGAGTATATTGAACTTTGAACCCTGAATCTTGAACCTGTCGCTTAGCACAAGCCATCATATAATCGTTATTAGGTCATTCTGAACAAAAAAATCCTTTATACTTTTGCAAATAAGTACGCAAACTTTCAAGTTATCAGTTAAAAGATCTCCTTGATATGATCTCCTTCATATCATTTTCAATCATTAACTTAATAACTATTGCGATTTTTACAAAATGATACTTGGCTTTCCTTCTCAGTTTGATCTAATTAATCTTCACACAATGTATTCGTTTCCAAAAAATCTCGGACATCCTGTATATGAAAGAGAATAAAAAAAATACTCAAGCATATTGGGCTGCATGATATTGGTCACAGAAACGTAAAGTTGATGAAAGAACGTAAGGTTGTTAGAAATATAAAAATAAAAATGATCCATCATCTATTCAGGAAAAATAGCTTGGTTAAATTAACGCATTGTATTCCATTGGAACAAGTTTTAGATGACCATGACAACATCAAAGAGAACAGTAATATATACGAGTGTGAATGCACTTATGCAATATTATTGTTGCACTTAACGGGATTAAGTTGTCACGATTCTTCTCAACGCCAACAGTCATGATACAAGAACATGAACAGTGACCGAGATAATAGCTACATTTTGAGCAGATAAGTTATTTAAATTTTTTAATTGTATGCAACATTGACTTATTATTTATTGATTATTCAAGATAAAGCGGACTATCCTGTAGTAGTATTAGGCTAGAACGATAGTTTTATATATTAATGTTTAAAAAGAAGTTTATATAATTAGGAAAATGTTCGATTGAGTGAATTAGTTTTCTGGTGAAATATAAACGATACAGAAATTCCAACTTAAAAAACCAAGATTTTATTTAAGTTAACCAGAAATCTTGATAATTTATACAATACTACAATTCGATAATTATAATCGGAACTTCGGCGAACTATCGTTCGCATTTTATTAGGAAGTTGTTTCATTTGATCAAACATTTTTCTCCGTGTAGTAATCTTATATTGAATATTAACGACATGGTTATTATGCCGAACCTGGCGCGGAATGTTATCGGTCTGTGTAGTTGATGCATTTGAATTGAAAAACGCTAGTCGAAAGAGGAAAACATTGTCTCTCGATCTATTAATGTTGTTTTCCTTAAGATCTCTTCTGGCATTGATAGCTGTTTTGATCGTTGTTGATTAATTAATTCGTCGTGATTCATCATGGTACATGCAAGGGGATCTTTTACACGAAGGTGTTAATCGAGCCTCAATATGGTATCCGCGGCAGTTTCTCGCTGACTTCGAGAGTGAAAATCGCTTTGCGGAAGAGACTGCAGATATGAAGACGCGCGCTGCATTGTCGATAGTTCTGTCGTTGCTCGTTTTACTATCGTCATGTGAGTAGCTTGTTATTATTATTACTATTTAATATGCGATAACATGCGTCCGATATGTCAAATTCATGTCACTCATGATCTCTTCTTCATTTATTTGCGTTTAAAATAAAAATAAAAATAAAAGTAGACACATGAGAAATTTGAGACGCACATATAAAAAAATTGATTGCATTAATCAGGATATGAAGCTAAATTAACCAATTTGAAATTAATCAGGATATAAGGAAATATGAATATATTAATTAGATTATTTGGTGCAATATGTACTATCCAGAATTTTGATGAAGTTAATTAGACAATTTTGGTGACAATTATGGGTTCTGGAAAAGATAATTGAATAAATTAATATGAGTAAAACAACAAAATTATGTTTATATTTTTGACCAGCAAATTTCTTACTTTTTTAATTGAATTTCTTCCATATGGTATTGTTTTCAACACCATATGGTAGTGTTTCCTTTTCAAATCCAAATGTTACTCAAATATTTTGTAGCCATGTTTTTCATTATTTTATTAAAATTTGTTCACCAAATCAATCGTGCTAAAGTTCTTCTATTCATATATACGATAACGACGTTCACAAATTAATCGATAGCATGCGCGCAAAAATTTACATTTTCAGCGTCTGCACAAACTGAACGTCCTGTTGAAGTAGAATGTGGCAAATACACGAAACACGACGGAAAGCTAATTGTAAATGGAGTAGAGGTTAAACCGGAAGTGTTCCCTTGGCATGTCCTTATCTATTTTAAAAAAAAGGACATGTCATACATTGATATATGTGGTGGTTCTCTCATCCGCAACAGTCTCGTCGTCTCAGGTGAGCGGACTTATTGAGCGGACAAATTTCTTCCTTATCTTGCTTTTAATCTTTCTTCTTTTCTTCTCTTCATTCACAGCGGCTCATTGCTTCTATGACGAGGACTCAAGAAACATTAAAAATGCATCGAGTTTCGTTGTGGCAGCTGGCAAGCGTTATCGTGCCTGGGATGCCGACGAGCAGTACAGTCAGAAGTCGTTGGTGGAGAGTATCGAAGTGGACGACTTATACTTGGGCCTGGCAGGTAACTTTGCTATGGACATAGCCCTACTGAAGCTGAACACGCCGTTTGAGCTAAATATGCTGGTATATCCCATCTGCATCGATTGGGCAATCTTGTACGAGAAAGATCTGTTGCAATCGGAACAACTTAGCAAGGTAATGATAGCAAGTATCAAACGTACAAAAGCCGATTTCGTTTGAGCATATTGGTATTCATGCAGTTTATTTAACGTGAGGATACTTTTTTGCAGCCGGACACGAGTATCGCGCATATAGGATGCGCGTTCGCGTGTTGTTAAATAATGACGCAATTCAAATTAAACTTTAGTCATGCACATGTCGACGTGTGTCGTTATGTCATATCAATGTTACCTAATCGTGTTACGTGTCTTATTCGTTTACATGCCCGTGCTTATAAATCATAAGGATACATCTGTATTTAAATACATGGATTATCTAATTTTCGGGAAAGACACGACGAAGGTCCCAGCGTGTCGTCGCCGAAAGAGAGAAAAATGGAAATTAAATGTGAAGAGAGGACAAATATATGCATTCATCGTCGTAATTTCAGATGGTCATATGGAATAAAAACATCAACGATGAATCTAACCAGACTATGTATGAAATTGACATGCCGTACGTGATGTACAACCAATGCGTGGCTGAGAGCCCTATAAATCTTCGCAAATTTATTACGCTGGATAAGTTCTGCGCAGGCCGTTTGAACGGTGAGTGTCTATCTGTGTAAATGATTGCGGTAGATTCATTCGTGCTTGTTATGTCTCGTTTGAACTTTCACAAGGTTGATGCGAGATAATTGTGAGTTGACAATGGATAATGAGGTAATAATATAACAAGATAATGAAAAGATAACTGTTACCACTAATGGTGCGCGATTACGTTTCATTGTTATAAAGCCGAGAAAAAGGCGCGTTTTCAATTCCTTAGTATTTGGTCAATATAAATGTGATGAAAATAATCGGACGATTATCAGATTCAAGCGTCTGCAATCAAGATGGAGGTAGCGGCCTATATGTCCAGAAGGAAGGAGTTTGGTATCTTCGTGGTATCGCCAGTGTTAAATACGGGAATATCGAACGTTGCGCTTACGACAAATCATACGTTGGATTTACTTACGTCAATTATTTCCGTGATTGGATTCGCGAAGGTTACGACAGTGCGTAAATGTGTAGAGGGACGTCGGTTGTCCGATGCACGAAATATGTAGCCAGCATCATTGAGCTCGCAATAATATGAGACGAATGGACGTGATGTGTAGACGAGATAATATCAGAGACAAAAGTTTAAAAAGTGACGATTGTATATGCGTTTTTATATACATACATACATACATACACACGAACACGCACACACGATATACCTGCAATATCGTTTGACGTGGAAGTGGAGAAATGAAGATATAAAGATTTTCGCTATTGTATATTCTGATCTTTAAATTGCAGATTAAATAAATAGTTAAGCTGAGTTACGTCCGTGAGAAATCTCGCGTAATTGAAAATCTGACGAAATATGATTACTAATATTTGACAAATATTCACTTCGGTTCACGTCAGCAGAATTCCGAACCAACCATTGTTTCCTAACTCATCCCTGAGCAACTTAATCCTTAGATGTAAATATCGATTTTTTCTTTCCTAGAAGGGTAATTGCTGCGTTTTTCCGTGGAAGCTATTGCATTTTCTGTTAGAGCGTTATTGTCGGTTTCCGGTCCGACAAAGCGGCTGAGTTTTTTCGTTTTTTTTGTTAGAAAGATTTGCTGAATTATTTCAGTCAGGCGTTTTCCTTTATATATCTTAAATATCTTTTAATAACTTCCTTCTTCGGGGCAATAATTTTCTTTGAAGACGAACCGGCCGGTCAATCTCGCATATTGTTACATGACGCGACTAGCCTTTGATCCTCAAGAATCTATGCCTTTTCCGCGTCTCTTCATAAATTTTATTCGCGTACCAACTCTAACTAAACCTAATAAAATCTAACGAAACACGGGTAAACCTTGAAATCTCCTTATTGCCATCTGCATCCCATCCCCTGCAATATTTATCTTCGGGATACTGCAACGCATCCTTAAACCTTACCTCCGAAATATCTTCACGGTACAGTCCTATGACTATATTTGGGCATAAAATTTAAATTGCCAATGCAACTCTTCGAACCCTACCTTCCCATCCGAGCTGACGACTTGAGTGAAACCAAAAAGCTTCTGCAGTTCTCGACATACCCGCGATTTGGATAGATCTTTTCTCGGTTCTATCACGAAATACCAGCCGTTTGTTAATAATCTTCCACCTCTATTTCATCGCGAATCCTGCGTAACGAACAGTAATCTGTTAAAACCGTGGTGCCTAATACTCGAAGTTTAGTGAATAAGTGTGATCAAGTGATTAAAATTCAACCCCAACCGCAGCAGCCTAAGAAGCCAACCTCCTATAGAAACTAGTTTATGCGACTCGTTCTATTCAGGCCCTTTTGTTGTTTCGTCACCTCTATTAAGGCAGTATCTTAACCCTCCAGGTCAGTGAGTCCTTTCTTTTCTTTTTCCTTACTTAATTATAATTTCGATTTGTTGCCGTCGAGAGGGAAATCTTGCTCTTCTCTTTGTTTCTTCTTTGGATCCTTTTTCCTTCCTCACCATCGAATTCCCTATTTTTCACTATGTGGTACACACTCTATTACACAACACACATGCTATTGACCGTTTGTTATAAACATGTATAATTTTATACTGATTATGCGAACCTATTGTATAGACCCGCGTTCCTGCAATATTTGTTAAAGTCATTTTAAATTTGCTCTTAATTGAACTTCAATAAAATGTGCCATTAATTTTCTATAATTTATATTAATTTTACGTTATAATTACCCCCTTTCCAATTCATCCCCGGTTCCAACTATCAACTCGCGGTCCAATTCCAGGTAAAGAGATTTAGTTCTTTGACCTAAAAGTGGACGTATCCATGAAGTTAGCACGACGTTTTGCGAATTGATAAAACATAAACATTGTTCCAATAGCATTTTTCATTGTTCTATTGTTCTTCAAAAAATGAAAAAGATTTTCTGCATGTATAATACCAAAAAATTGAAAATGTGTCGTGCTAACTTCACGTTCCAGTACGACAATTCTCCCTCTGAAGTACAAGAAGACGACAAATATTATGACATCTGACGACTCTTCTAGCTAGTTCTATGCAAGTATAGTATAAATATAGCACTTCAGAACAAAATGTCAAGAACTGTCCAGCACTGTAGTCCAGCACTGTAGCAATTATAGTCAGCACAACGCATCTTAATTTTCGACTTTTTGGACAGTTCTTGGCATTTTGTTCTGAAATGCTATATTTACACTAAACTTGCATAGAACTAGCTAGAACAATCGGTAGATGTCACAATATTTGTTCTTGTACTTTAGAAAGAGGAGTGTCGTGCTGGAACGCCAAGTCAGCACGATATTTTTTAATTTTCGATATCTTGGTCAATTTTTGACATTTTGTTCTGAAATGTTAGATTTACACTAAACTTGCATAGAATTAGCTAAAACAATCGGCATATGTCATAATATTTGTCACCCTTTTGTATTTTAAAAGGAGGAGTGTCGTGTTGGAACGCCAAATTAGCACGACACATCTTAATTTTCGATTTTTTGGTATTATACATGCGGAACATTTTTTCATTTTTTGAAGAACAATAGAACAATGAAAAGTGCTACTGGAATGTTTATTGTTCACTAATTTGCAAAATGTCGTGTTAACTTCACAGACACAAAGTGGATCACCTGTCGCACGTCGCAATCGGAGTAAACGGGCCCCTCTAGTCTTTGACTTGCATCGCATACGCAAGTACATACGTGCGGGACTCACAATCGTGAGTACACGTTGTGTCCTCTTCTAGGACATAACAACTACATGATATACTTTTTTCCTTAATTCCTGCATGATATACTTTTTTCCTTAATTCCTGTCTCATTATTCATTTGTCGACTCCGATTTTTTCCTTATGGGCAGACTACTTTATGCGTTAAGTGATGAGGACATTTTCTTAAAAATGATAATTCTTTCGTCGACAAATCATCATGTTCACTATATGAATATTTTATTCGTTCATGTTATATATTGTATTTTCAATGTCAGTTGTGATCAAGTGTAAGTACGCGGTTATGCCTCACGTGCTGCTTTCCTGCTTTCCTATTCCGTATCTTATTATCAAATGATATTCATTAAGTATTGCCAATAAACAGTCAACAAGACGAAACAATTTTCAATGAGATCGTAGCTACAGAGCTCGTTCCATAGCATTATGCTGATTAGCCTATCCACTTTCATTACTGTCTCAAAATTTCAATTTTCAATTGTTTGAAAAATGCTAGAGAAATATTTTGTTCAACTTGACTCACTCTATCTTTACGCTGTGAGTGTGCTTTGAGTTTTCGGACATTCTCAACACATATGAAGGAGAATAAAATTATATAAGTATGCTGAGACGCGCGATATCGGCTTTATTGAAAGCATTGATGTAAATTTAAAAAATGTGTTTTCATCGATCTACATATTGTCAACATTGTCAACACTGAAACATCGAAATTTCATCTTCAAGGTTATACAATTATCACGCAACATTTCGCAATCATTGATGTTCATAATTTTTATTACCATAACATTATTTGTTATATTTTGACATTGGTCGTAAATTTTTCTACAAGTGGCTATTATCAAATTTATAATGTCGTTCAACTTTCATTCAAGTTTTTTTCCGCAATCAATATGCCAAGTTAATTGGTGCTGAATCATCGTAAGATAAACTGGTTAACCTTCCAGGTATAAAGTTAGACCTCGATGTGAAACTCGCGTTCAGTTTCTCGTTGACTAGGTAGTAGCTATTTTCCTGTAAACGTTTCTGTTATTATGAACGCATATTCTGTATTGACAGTATTAACAATAATGATAGTTCCGTTGTTGCTGGGCTTATTGTCATTCTGTGAGTATACATAATACTTTTCAGTTCATGCCGCTACTTATTTTCCTGATAGAACGGTTGCGCTTCGTAGATCGAATTCGTGTGAAAAATTGTCAGTAGAATGCTGAAATTTGATATTGTGTGTTTATAGCATTTAATCACATCGTGATTTGATGCGTTTCTGTGTCGCGAGCATTCGGTCACGTCGTCCTTCAAGTAATGACATTAAAAATAATGTGCCGAGGAATACATTTCTTATAATTTTATAATGCAATGTTCTACGTCCAAATAACATCACTCAGCTACTTCTTCATTTATTCCCATTTAAAATCCAAATAGAATGTATGAAAATTTTCAAGCGCACGTGGAAAAAAATTGCTATATTAATCAAATGTATGGATATATTAATCAGATTGTTTAGTAAAATATAAATATAGAGAGTTGTTATTGTTTTAATATTAAATACAATTATAATATAATAATTCTTATAAAATATAGAATTTTTTAATGATTCTTATAATAGAATGTAGATTTATATGATTATAAAATAGATATTATAATAGATTGTATATATATTATGTATGATATTATAATCGATATTATAATTCTTATAATAGAATATAGAATAGAAAATTGGGAATACCAAACAAAATTGATTATATGCGATTCAGTTAAGATAATCAGGCAAATTGGATACATGATTACGTAGATAAGGTAATTAGGCAGATTTGGTTGAACAAATCAAATTGTATTCATAATTATAACGATAGATTTACTTACATTTTTAACTGAATTTGTTTTGTAAGTTAATGAATGTTTCGTGTTAGCGCATAATGATTTTTACATGAAATTAATCATTGGAATGATCGATGTTCTTGAAAAACTCGTTTACCCTAATGGAATTTGGTCATGGAACCTTTGCTTCGCCAGTTATATCTAACTTATGTGCTACTTCTTATATTAATAGACGTTATATATTACTTATATATGTGAGCAGGAGAGGATTTGATGAGATCTGTAAGGATAATTAGTTGTAGAAGCCAAGACTCGGGAGTTACATATATAAAGTACTTAATAATAATTGATTTTCTTAATCAATCGTGCGTTAATTTCAACTAATAATAAAGTTATATTTTCCTTTAAACGAATTTTGTCTGTTTTTGTAATAGCCGAATTATTATATTTCTAATTAAGTTTTTAGTTAAACTTACGATTAACTTAAACTTAACCTACTTACTAAAATTTGGCAAAATCATTAGGCTACTTTTTTTGCGTGCAAATTTCTGATTTGAGGATTAATATATTAATATATCAATGTATATAGCTGATATTATATCTAAATATTTTGATTGAATATCTGCATATTTGATTAAAATAATTTTAGATAGGGACATAGTTCAGTAGGGACATAAGTTAGGCACTTATGTCCTTACTGAGCCATCAACCAATAATCCTTTAGGATTAAACGATAACTTTTCTACAGGCAGTATAAACATAAAGAAACTATCTAAAAATAGAAACAAAACAGAAACATTGTTTCAGTTCATTATGTTCAGTTACAGTACTAGCCAAAATAATTATCTAACCAAAATAATTATTAAACGATCTATTTATAAGTTTTCTTTTAAAAAATATAGATCTTACCGACGCGTGTGTTAATGATAGTATACCGGGAATAAACAAAACACAACAGCATCGTGAACAGTGTAGGTACGCACAATTGCTTTACGCTACAAATAATATATTATTAGTTTTTATTTAATAACATACGACGGATAGATGTTGTTAATGCTAGATAGAAAGGAGTTTAAGGCCCATATTCTGAACTCTTTTTTAACACTAAAAGTGATTCTATAAGTAGCTTACAGCCAATTAGGAGGTTAATAAGCCACTTTTACAGTCACTTTTAACAATAAAACCAGTTCAGAATATAAGCCTAAGTGTACCCAACGAAAACATTTAATTATTATATTTAAATAGAGACGATGAGTTCCTCTGTGGAAGCAACGAATGCGTACCGTCTAATGTCAAATGCGATAAGAAATCTGATTGTAACGATTCCAGCGATGAGGCATTCTGTAATATGTAAGTTAAATATTTCCTTGTCACAATTTTCTATACACACACACACATGCAATTTCCACTAAACCACCAATGACTAATCATCACTGGGGTTTTACACTCTTCAGATCTAGTAGCTAGATCTACTCTAATATTAGATTTAATAGTACTTTTATTTCCTATTGATTACTATACCTGAATCGATAATTTTTACGCATGCATTCGCGGAAATTTAGAGAGGAAAATCAAGAAAACGGTTGCGCATTACCTGAGCAACCGACAGGTGGACGTTATAAGTTGGAAGGATGTGACGAGTTATGCCGTAAACAGTCTGGCGACATTGTTCCGCAGCACAGTATTCTCACTTATACCTGTAATGACGGTTACATGTTGAACAGCAGCAATACTACTATTTGTCTCAACAATATATGGGACTATCAGGTCTCTTGTCTCAGTGAGTCTCTCTTGACAATAAGTCTTCGCAACAAATGGCTATATAATGTGTTTCGATATAAGATAATTAATAAGAATACATTGTCGCATAATTATTAAAATTAATGTTTTTACAAAAAAGCGACGTTCTCTTTATTTAAACGACAGATGGTAAGATTTATGGCTTACCTGGTCCGATGTTTATCTCCGCAGAAATTTGCCCGCCGTTGAACAGCACCAGCGTAGACATTTCCTGCAACTATCGAGGAGAAGAGGTGTCTTGTAGCGAGCCTATACTGCCTGGAACACAAGTCACGCTGGCCTGCAAACAATTTTATACATTACCTTCAAGAATTGATCCAGATTACAGGATGATGGAGTGTCTCGATGATGGTTCTTGGAATCGTACCATTTTTTACTGTATGCCAGGTGAAAATTATTTATCCATTTATCATTATTCAGATACAAGACATTAACAGCAAAGTCTCGACAAATTAGACAATGTCCATGTATACGTGCTGTCACTTATTAAAAATTTTCGTACTACTGTACTCGTTAAACAATTAAAAAGACATCATATTTATTTAGAAATTCATTACCGAAATGACGTATGCTCAATTATCCCTTGACCATATGACATATAACATATGACCATCTAACGTGGACACCTGTGACCATCTATCCCTCATAGAATATTTTTAATATTTCGTTATTATTGACGTCCCATGAATTTCTTTTTACAAAAACTTTTTTGTACCTAAAACATTATCCTCTACTGAATGTGTTAATATATTGTTGACCATTTATTGCATTAAAACAGATGTGCTATTTCCAACTAAAAAAACTGTCCATCTATCCCGGACGTACTCTAATATGAACTACTCAGAATTTTGATTAAGTTAACTAGACTAGTAATTTTGGTTGCACATGGATGCTGGGAAAGATAATTGGATAAATTAATATGAGTTACTCAAACAATAAAATTATGTTTATATTTTCGATCAAAAAATTTCTTACTTTTTAACTGAGTTTCTTTCATATGGTACTAATGTTTCCTTTTCAATTCCAAACGTTACTCAAATATTTCGTACATCTTTAATTACCTTATTACTTTATTAAAATTACTTTATTAAAATTTCTTCAGCAGATAAATCATGCTAAAGTTCTTCTACTCATATATATGAGAGAACGACGTTCACAGATTACGGTAGCATGCGCGCAAAAATTTACATTATCAACGTTCGCACAAGCTAATAATCGTTCTGTTGAAGTAGAATGCGGCAAATATATGGGACACGACGAAAAGCTAATCGTAAATGGAGTCGAGGTTAAATCGGAGGTGTTCCCTTGGCATGTCCTTATCTACTTTAAAGAAAAGAACATGACATACATTCAGATATGCAGTGGTTCTCTCATCCGCAACAATCTCGTCATCTCAGGTAAATTATTGAGCGAACCAATTTCTCCCTTATTTTGCTTTTAATCTTTCTCCTTTTCTTCTCTTCATTCACAGCGGCTCATTGCTTCTATGACGAGGATTCAAGAAACATTCAAAATGCATCGAGTTTCGTTGTGGCAGCCGGCAAACGTTATCGCGCCTGGGATGCCGACGAGCAGTACAGTCAGAAGTCGTTGGTGGAGAGTATCGAATTGGACGATCAGCACTGGGGTGAATACTTCATGGACGTAGCTCTATTAAAGCTGAAAACGCCACTTGAACTAAACATGCTGGTGCGTCCCATTTGCATCGATCGGGAATACAAATTTGGAGATATAGTGCTGCAACGGGGACTTGGCAAGGTAACGACAGCAAGCATCAATCGTGCAAAAGCCGATTCTGCTATTAGCCGTTTATTCAAGGATACTTTTATAGCTAGACACGAGTACCGCGTATATAAAAAGCTAATTGTTTTTAAATACATCATAATGACGCGATTTCGAATTAAACTTTAGTCATGCGCATGTCGACGTATGTCGTTACGTTGTATCAATGTTACCTAATTGTATCACATGTTTCGTTTACACACCGTGCTCATAAATCATAAAGGATACATTTGTATTTAAATGCATCGGTTATTTAATTTTTGCGAAATATACGACGAAGGTCCCAGCGTTTCGTCGCTAAAAGAGAGACAAATGGAAATTAAATGTAAAGAGAGGACAAATATATGGATTCATGGTCGTAATTTCAGATGGTTGTATGGAATAAAAACATCAACGACCAATATAACCAGACTATGTACGAAGTTGAGATGCTGTATATGCCGAACAAGCAATGTGTGGCTAAAAGCCCTATAGATCTTCGCAACTTTAGTGACAGAAGATGGGATAGGTACTGCGCAGGCCGTTTGAACGGTGAGTGTCTATCCGCGCAAATGATTTGCGGTAAATTCGTCCGTGCTTGTTATGTCTTATTTGAATTTTCACAAGGTTGTTGCGAGATAATTGTGCGTTAACAATGGATAATGAAGTAATAATATAACAAGATAACGAAAAGATAGCTATTACCACTGATGATGCGCGATTACGTTTTATTGTTATAAAGCTGAGAAAAATGCGTGTTTCCAATTCCTTAGTATTCGGTCGATATAAATGTCATAAAAATAATTATCAGATTCAAACGTCTGCAATGAAGATGGCGGTAGCGGCCTGTATGTACAGATAGAAGAAGTTTGGTATCTTCATGGTGTTGTCAGTGACAAATACGGGAATATCGATCGTTGCGCTTACAATAACTCATACGTTGGATTTACTGGCATCGGTTACTTCGTCCATCACATCGTCGAGATTCCCGAGACTTAAGATAGTGCGTAAACGTGTACAAGGACATCGGTTGTCCGAAGCACGAGATATGTAACCGGCATCATATCGAGCTTGCAATTATGTGAAATGAATGAACGTGACGTATGAATGACATACATTAACAGTGACAAAAGCCTAAGAAGCAACTATTGTATTGAATCTTTCGTTACATACTCCGGCAATGTGGAAATGGAGAGAGGCGCTCAAATGGGAAAGAAGAATCGAAGATTTCCGTGATTGAATTCACTTTAATGTTATATATTAAATAAATACCTAAGTTGAATGATATATTATTTTCTTTATCTCCTATGTATACACAATCGCTCGATTGTCACCTCCGATTTTTGCAGCTTTCTATTCTATAGATGTACTTTGATATGAGTACACCTGCAAACAGAATCTTCAACATGGAACGCTACAAGTTTACAAGAATATGTGTATATACATTTATATACGTCTGTGTGTAGATCGCAGGTTAGATCGCAGATTAGATTAGATCATTCTGAACAAAAAAGTCTTTTACCATTTTGCAAATAAGTACGTAAATTTTCAAGTTATCAATTAAGATTTTCTTGGTATGGTCATTTTCAATCATTAATAATTTAATAACTATTGCGATTTTTGCAAAATGACTTTTCTTTACAGTTTGATCTGATTAATCCTCACAATTTTTCGTTTCCAAAACATTCCGGACACCTTGTATATGAAAGAAAATAAAAGAAAAATCTCAAGCATACTGGACTGCGCGATATTGATGTTCCTAGAAACGTAAAGTTGATGTGAGATTGTTAGAAATATGAAAATAAAGTTCCATTGATCCATCATCTATACAGGAAAAATAGCCAGGTTAAATTAACGCGTTGTGTTCGATTAAAACAAGTTTTAGATGACTATGGCAACATCAAAATGAACAGTAATATATAGGAGTGTGAATGCGATATTGTTCTATTTAACAGGATTAAGTTGTCACGATTCTTCTCAACACCAACAGTCATGATACAAAAACATCAACAATGACCGGAATAATAATTACATTTTGCAAATAAATTATTAGAATTTTTTAATTGCACGCGACATTGATTTAGTATTTATTGATTATTCAAAATAGAGGGAACAATCTTGTAGCGTTATATTGGTCAGAATGATAGCTTTATATTAACGAAAGGAGTCTAGAAAGGAGTTTTGTATAATTAGGAAAGTGTTTGGATAAGCGAATTAGTTTTCTGGTCTCAATCTTGGTAATTCACGAGTTCTAATAATTTCAGCCGGAATTTAAATATCATTCATATTTGAATCAGAAAATTGTTTCATTCGATCAAATATTTTCTTCCTTGCAGTAATTTTATATTGAATGTTATACTGAACGACTTGGCTATTATTGCAGACCTTGTGCGAAACGGGTTATCATGTCGGCCTTGATGCACTTGAATTGAAAAATATCAATCGAATGACAAAAGCATTATCTTTCTCGACAGTAGTATCGTTTCCCCAAGATTTTCTCCGGCATGTATATCAATCCTCTTCGTTACTGATCAATTAATTCATCATGACTCATCGTGATACATGCCGGCTGACCTTCTGCACGAAAGTGTTGATCGAGCCTCAGTATAGTATCCGCGGTAGTTTCTCGCTGACTTCGAGAGCGAAAGTCGTTTTGTGGAAGAGTCTGCAGGCATGAAGACGCACTCTGCATTGTCGACAGTTCTGTCGCTGCTAGCTTTACTACCGTTGTGTGAGTAACTTAATATTATTATTATTTAATATGCGATGACATATGTCTGATACGTCAAAATCACGTCACTCCCATGTTGATCTCTTCTTCATTTATTTGCATTTAAAATAAAAATAGAAATGGATATATGAAAAATTTCTGACGTACATCTAAAAAATTGATTACATTAATTAGAATATGAAGATAAATTAATTGATTAAAAATTAATCAGAATATAAGGAAATATGAATATATTAATAAGATTATTTGGCAAAAAACAAACTACCCAGAGTTTATAAATTTATACGAATGAAACAACAAAATTATATATGTTTATGTTTTCAAGTTTCTTACTGTTTGAACTGAATTTGTTTTATACAGTATTGGTGTTTTATTTCCTATTCCAAATCAAATCATTCAGATATTTTGGCGATATACTTAAATACCTTATTAAAATTTTTCCATCGGATGAATCGTGCTAAAGTTCTTCTGCTCATATATATGATAGAACGACGTTAACAGATTAATTGATAGCACGTACACAAAAATTTAAATTTTCAGTGTCTGCACAAGCTGATCGTCCCATTGAAGTAGAATGCGGCAAATCCACGAGGCACGATGGGAAACTAATTGTTAATGGAGTGGAGGCTAAAGCGGGGATGTTTCCATGGCACGTTGTCATCTACTTTAGAGAAAAAGACATGACATATATACCGATATGTGGTGGTTCTCTTATCCGCAACAATCTTGTCGTCTCAGGTGAGTCATTAAGCGTATAAATTAATCTCTCATCTCACTTTTAATTTCTTTCCTTTTCTTCGCTGCATCAACAGTGGCTCATTGTTTTGAGCAAGTCTTGAACAACGTTAACAATGCGTCGAGTTACGCTGTGGTAGCCGGCAAGCATTATCGTGCCTGGAATGCCGACGAGCAGTACAGTCAGAAGTCGTTGGTGGAGAATATCGAAGTTGGCGAAAGATACTTGGGGTTGATTGGTAACTATGCCAGTGACATAGCTCTGCTGAAGCTGAAAACGCCGTTTGAGCTAAATATGCTGGTGCGTCCTATTTGCATCGATTGGGAAATCATATATGAGAGAGCATTGTTGCAACCGGGACAACTTGGCAAGGTAACGATAGCAAGTATCAATCGTGCAAAAACCGATTTTGCTATTGAGCGTTATCATGCCGTTTATCCAACGCGAGGATGCTTTTGCAGTCGGACACGAATGTCGTGCATGTAGAAAGCTAATCGTTGTTAAATCATAATGATTTCGAATTAAACTTTAGTGATGCGCATATCGATGTGTGTGTCATGTTGTGTCAACGTAATCATGTCACATGTCTATTTTGTTTACATGCCCGTGCTTGTAAATGAGGATATATGAGGATATATTTGTATCTAAATGTACCGGTTATCTAATTTTCGCTAAATACAGAACAAAGGTTCCGGCACGTCGTCAAAGAGAGAAAAATGGAAATTAAGTGTAAAGAGAAGACAAACATGTGGGTTCATTGTCGTAATTTTAGATGGTGACATGGAATGAAAACATCAACGACGAATCTAACCAGACTATGTACGAAGTTGTCATGCAGTACGTGCCGAATAAGCAATGTGTGGCTGAGAGTCCTATAGATTTTCGCAGGTTTATTACGCAGGATAAGTTCTGCGCAGGCCGTTTGAACGGTGAGTGTGTATCTACGCAAATAATTGTAGTAGATTCATTTGTGCTTGTTATGTCACGTCTGAACTTTCGTAAGGCGATTGTGAGTTGACAGTAGATGATGCGATAATAATATAACAAGATAATGAAATAATTTCTACCATCAATGATGGCGCGTGATTACGCTCCGCTGTTATAAAATCGAGAAAGACACATATGCGCAATTCCTTAATATTTCGTTGATATAAAGACGATGAAAATAATTGGAGGATTGTCAGATTCAAGCATCTTCATTGGACAAAGCGGTAATGGCCTGTACATCCACAAGAATGGGACTTGGTATCTTCGTGGCATCGCCAGCATTAGATACGGGAATGTAGACGATAACAACTCATACATTGGATTCACCTACATCAGTCACTTCCGTGATTGGATTCACGAGGCTTACGACAGTGCGTAAACGTGTAGAGGGACGTCGGTTGTACGATGCACGAAATATGTAGCCAGCATCATCGAGTTTGCAATAACGTGAGACGAATGGATGTGACATATGGAGATAATATCAGCGACAAAAGTTTAAAAAGTGACGATTGTATATGCGTTTTTATATACATACATACATACACACGAACACGCACACACGACATACCTGCAATATCGATTGACAGAAGTGGAGAAATGATGACACAAAAATTTTCGCTATTGTATGTTCTCGTCTTTAAGTTGCAGATTAAATAAATAGTTAAGCTGCATGATATACTTTTATCCTTAATTCCTGTGTCACTACTCATTCGTCGACTCCGAATTTTTTCTTATGGGCAAACCACTTTATGCATCAAGCGATGACGACATTGTATTTTCTTAAAAATGGTAATTCTTTCGTCGATAAATCATCGTATTTGCTATATAAATATTTTATTCGTTCATGCTGTACATTTTCAATGTCAGTTACGATCAAGTGTAAGTACGCGGTCATGCTCTACGCGCTGCCTTCCTATTCCCTCTCTTATTGTCAAATGATATTTATTAAGTATTGCCAATAAACAATCAACAAGACGAAACAATTTTCAATGAGGTCATAGCTGCAGAGCTCGTTTCATAGCATTATGCGTGTTGATTAGTCTATCCACTTTCATTAATATCTCAAAATTTCACCCGATTATTTGAAAAATGTTAGAGGAATCTTTTGTTCAACTTGACTCATTCTATCTTTACGCCGTGAGTGGGTTTTGAGTTTCCGAACACTCTGGACACATATGAAAGAGAATAAAATTACACAAATATGCTGAGACGCGCGATATAGGCTTTATCGGAAGCATTGATATAAATTTTAAAAATGTGTTTCCATCGATCCATACATTGTCAACATTGTCAACACTGAAACATCGAAATTTCATCTTCAAGGTTATACAATGATCACGCAACATTTCGCAATTATTGATGTTCATAATTTTTATTATCGTAACATTATTTGTTATATTTCGACATTGGTCGTGAATTTTTCTACAAGTGGCTATTATCAAATTTGTAATGTCGTTCAACTTTCATTCAAGTTTTTTTCCGCAATCAACATGCCAAGTTAATTGGTGCTGAGTCATCGTAAGATAAACTGGTTAACCTTCCACGTATAAAGTTAGACCTCGATGTGAGACTCGCGTTCAGTTTCTCGTTGACTAGGTAGTAGCTATTTTCCTGTAAACGTTTCTGTTATTATGAACGCATATTCTGTATTGATAGTATTAACAATAACGGTAGTTTCGTTGTTGGTGACTTTGCCATTCTGTGAGTATTTTACATAACGCCTTCAGTCCACGCCTTTGCTCATTTTCCTGATAGAACGGCCACGCATCGTAGATCAAATCCGTGTGAAAAACTGCCGGCAGAATGCTAAAGTGACATTGTGCGGTTATAGGATTTAATTACATCGTAATTTGATGCGTTTCTGTGTGATTCTGTGACTCGTGATTCTGATGTCAATTTGTCTAATGACAGATTTGTATAAATAACAAAACATGTGAACGCTTGAAAGTAAATATGTATATTCTGTCAAATAAATACCGGGAATTATTCATTTAAAAAGCCTACGTAAAAGGTACGAAAAAAAATTTTTTGCTGTAAGTTGGTACCAATATCACAAAGTGATAGATCACTTTGTTATGTGACCTAATTGTCACATAGAGTTTTGGCGCAATCTGCCAACTAGTTTGTTTACAGCTGTTGGTTTTGTTAATTGACTTCAAGTGTGCTCTGCGATTTTTAAAATAAATAAAAATATGGAACAAAGGGTTTGCCTCAAATTTTGTGTTGTCAATAAAATTTCTTCTGCTGAATCGTTGTAAATGTTAAAGAAGGCCTAAGTGAATCAGCTTTATCGAAAACGCGAGCATACGAGTGGTACAAAGCATTTAAAGAAGGCTGAGAAGTGGTGGAAGAATTGTATCGTTTCGGTCGACCTTCAACGTCTTCGACTGACGAGAAAGTGAAGAAACTGGTGATGGAAAATCGTCATTCAAGCTTAAGAGAGATGACTCAGGATCTGGACATATCTCACGAATTCGGAAATGGCCAAATTTATGGAAGAACAATTCTTGGATTTTGCACCACGATAATGCGCCGTCCCACATTCGACCTTTGTACGCGAATTTTTGACCAGCAGTTCAATGAATATTATCGACCAAGCACCCTAGATATGATCCTGTGTGACTTTTTCCTGTTCCTCAAACTCATATTACTCTTTCGTGGAAGATATTTTGAGCCCATTGATGCCATAAAACAAAATTCGCAGAAGAAGATGAAGGCAATTTAGGAAAGTGTCTATAAGAAGTATTTCGACGACTGAGTTGTTGGTTGACATAAGTATATCGTATCAAATGGAGCCTATTTTCAAGAGGACAAAATAAATTTGGATGATTAAACCAATATTTTATGTTTTATTAAACATTTCCCTTTATTTGACACTTTTATTATTTATTTATTTGACAGAATGTAGAAAAGACTTTGATCAATAATAATATAAGTATTAAAAATTGTTCTGATTATGTTTTAATTATTCTAATTATGTATATATGTATTAAAAATCTTACTAATTATAATAGAATAATTTATGAGAATTAATTGGTAGCATCCATGCAAAAGGGTGACTACTGATAATGGAGGGTTTCTTAACATACGATGTTTTAGCATTGTCTATCTTAACATGATATTCCAAAATAAAAATCGCAAAAATTCACATTTTCAGTGTCTGCACAAAATAATCAATTACAGTTCAATAATGGACAAAGTAATATTGGCCAATATGGAGCTGACAGTAATGCAGCATTTACGATCCCGTCTTCTTCTTTGAATTTGGAATCCGTGAACATGGAACCTATGATTCCGGCACCCACAAATGTGAATAAGCTCTCAGTGGGCAATACAAACTGGATTATCAAACTGGCAATAAATATCAGTTGTCTTAACAGAGATTCTACTAAGAAGAACTATCCTAACTGGTGCTTCCTTAACAGGTATAACCCTAACGGGTACTTTCCTAGCAATGGATACACTAATAGGGATTACTCTGAAGAGGCCAGTGCTACTGGAGAGTCTCTTAACATATTCAACATCTATTTTAACATAATGTTCCGAAATGGAAGTTATCTTGATAAGAATTATCCTAACGAGACTAAAGATAATGAGAGGCATCTTAACGGACAAAATCTCAACATTGGTGCTCCTAACGTAGTCCTCCACGATGAAGACGGGACTAGTAATAATGGAGGACACCTTAATAGACAAAATCTCAACCCTGTCTCCCTTAACATAGTCCTCCAGAATGGAAGTGATCCTAACGAATTTAATAGTAACGGCGAGAATTTTAACGAACAAAATCTCAATATTACCTCTTCTAACATGGACTCTCATAATGGAAGCAATTCTAACGGAAGTTATTCCAGCAATATATTTCCCATCGAAATCTCTCTTAATATAGGCAGTCAACATCCTGAAACATCGAGTTTGAATAATTTGAATAACGGGATTGGACAAAATTTGTCAATAGGCATTTATGTCCTTACTGAGCCATCAACCAGTAATCCTTTAGGATTAAATGATAACTTCACAACATCATTTCAATCTAGTAAGTTTAGTTACAGTACTAGCCAAAATAATTAACGAACTATTTATAAATTAATTTTTTTAAATACAGATGCTAGCGACGTTAATGATGGTACACCAGGAATAAACAAAACGCAGCAGGATCGTGGACAGTGCAGGTATGCACAATTGTTTTACAATTGTTGTACGCTACAGATAATGTATTATTAGTTTTTATTTCATAACATACAACGGATGGATCTGTCTTGTTGTTGATGTTGGATAGAAAGGAGATTAAGGCCCATATTCTGAACTCTCTTTCATCACTAAAACTGACTCTAAAAGTGGCTTATAACCAATTAAGAGGCTTATAAGCCACTTTTATAGTCACTTTTAACAATAAAAGAGAATTCAGAATGCCTAAGTGTATCCAACAAAAACATTTAATTATCATATTTAAACAGAGACGATGAGTTCCACTGTGGAAGCAACGAGTGCGTACCGTCTAATGTCAAATGCGATAATAAAGCTGATTGTAGCGACTCCAGCGATGAGGCATTTTGCATTATGTAAGTTAAATATTTCCTTATCACAATTTCCTACACAGACACACACATACAATTTCCACTAAACCACCAATGACTAATCATCACTGGGATTTTACACTCTTCAGATCTAGTAGCTAGATCTACTCTAATACTAGATTTAATAGTACTTTTATTTCCTATTGATTACTATACCCGAATCGATAATTTTTACGCATGCATTCGCGGAAATTTAGGGAAGCATATCAAGAAAACGGTTGCGCATTACCTGAGCAACCGACAGGTGGACGTTATAAGTTGGTAGGATGCGACGAGTTATGCCGTAAACAGTCTGGCGACATTGTTCCGCAGCACAGTATTCTTATTTATACCTGTAATAACGATTACATGTTGTATGGCAGCAATATTACCATTTGTCTTAACAACATATGGGATCATCAGGTCTCTTGTTTCAGTGAGTCTTTCGTGACAATAAGTCTTCGCAACAAATGGCTGAATAACATCTTTTGATACGAGCTAATTAACAAGAATACATTATCGCATAGTTATTAAAATTGATGTTTTTACAAAAAAGTTCTCTTTATTCAGAAGACGGATGGTAAAAACTTATAGCTTACCTTGTCCGATATTTATCTTCGCAGAAAATTGCCCGCCATTGAACAGTACCAGCGTAGACATTCATTGCAGTTATCAAGAAAAATTTGCAATTTGTAGCGAGCATTCAGTCCTACCTGGGACACAAGCCTGGTTGACCTGTAAACCATTTTATAAATTACCTTTAATCAATCCGGGTGACATGTCGATGAAGTGTCTTGACAGTGGCGTGTGGGATCGCGCTATGTTTCACTGTGAACCAGGTGAAAGTGACTTGTTCATTTTTCATTCCTTAGATGTGAGGCGTGAACAGAAATGTCTCGACAAATTGAACGAGTTTCGCTAATTCCTTTCTAGCATAGAGAGTGTTACTCTTAACCAAAAATTTTCGTGTAACTGTGTGCATTAATGTGTCTGAGCATACCTAACGGTCATGCTGAGTCGTGATGTCAGGGGCAAGAAAAGTGGCACGCTGAAAATTCTTTCCTGCTACTTCCAAAATATAATATTTTTATATGAAATATTTATATAAATATTTATATGAAAGAATATATTGAATCACTTGGGTATCTATAAAATGCTCCAAAAATTATCCCGTCTTCTTCAGAGTTTATATACAAGTACAAAATGACTATAATATACATATGGCCTAGTTATGAGAATGCATAACTATTTGCTTGTGATAAAACTTCATATCTGATTTTAGCGCAGGCAACTGATTTTCAAAACATTTTATAAATATATTCTAGCAGTCTGAAGCATTATTCTTTCATATAAATATATTTTTATTTAAAACGGTGTGCAAGAATTTTGTCACTTTCTTGTTTGTTACGTTACAGTTAAAATTACACCAAGAGACTTAATAACTGTTCGAGCTTTCCTCGTTTCATAGTTGTTGAACATGTTTCCTGTTGCTGGCGAATAGTCGGTATCATATACGCAATTATGTTTTTCCGAGACATTTCCGTCTCGCTATTTATCTGTGACGGTTTGTGTAATCGTTATCGCGGTTTTCGGTTACGAAAATACTAACAACGTTGCTGTGCAAGTAGAATGTGGCGTAACTATCCAAAATACTGAGCAAGTATTGATAATTAACGGCGTTATCAGCGGCATTGCGTCCAAATTAGGCTCGTTTCCCTGGCATGTTGGTATCTATGTAAAAGATGGCACCAACACGTACAAGAATATATGCGGTGGCAGTCTAATAAGCAATAACCTCGTCGTCTCAGGTAAGTCATCGAACAGACAAATCTATTTTCTTCTCATCGCTCCTTTATATACGTCTCGTTTTCTTTCTCTATCCGTAGCTGCACATTGTTTCTACGACGAGGCTGAGAATAAACTTTACAACGCGTCGAATTACGCTGTGGGTGCCGGCAAATACTATCGTTCTTGGGATGCCGAGGAGCGGCGATTCAGTCAGAAGTCGTTGGTGGAATACATAAAATTGCGCTTCGACTACTTTGGGACGAGAGGTAATCTTGCCGAGGATATAGCTCTGGTGAAGCTACAGACGTCTTTAAATTTCAACAAACTGGTCAGACCTATCTGCGTAGATTGGCAAAACATGTACGACAAAGAACAGCTGCAAGTGGGACAATCAGGTAAGGTAGGTAAACGAGTATAAATCGCATATAATTCGCAAGAAAGTCTATTAGTTGGGTGTCTTCACATGGTTCAATTAAAGTGAGAACGTTTTGTAATCTAAAGTGAGTGCGGCGCATATGGGAAGGTAATTGCAGAATATATCATAATGACGCGTTTACGAATGCAACATTGGTTATATTCATGTCGATGTGTGCTGTTGTATCAATATTACTCATGCAGCATGTCGGAATCGTAAGTTTACAAGTTCGTGTTCACAAATCTAAAGTTGGTAAAGTTGTTTTCAAATATATAGATTATCTAATTTTTGGGAAACAACGTCTCGTCGCGTGCTTCCTCATAAGAGGATAAAAATTTAATTCCTCATAAGAGGATAAAAATTTAATTCCTCATAAAATTTTATTCGAGCGAAAACATCAATGGCGAACTCTAAACGCTTTCATGCAGTTAATCAAATGGTAAATATCTTACAATGGAGGCACGAATACGTAACATTCAGAAAGTTATTAAAAAATTGTCAAAAATTGTCAAAAGCATCAAGAAGACACATTTCTCAATATAATTTGTTTTAGTTATATGTCGTCGCGAGTCGTTGTGTCACTATTACTTCATCGTGCGTCCGCGCGCGAATTATAGGAGTAAATTTACAAACAGACGGGTCGTCTAGATTTTTACATGACAAATATCCCGTCGTCATCTTCAGAGACAGGAGAATCGAAATCAAATGTAAAGAGAGAATAAAACAACGGTACGTTCGCTCGGTGATTTCAGCTGGCCGGCTGGGGTAAAGATATCACTTTTAAGCCCACTGAGGAATTATTCGAACTTACTATGCCGTACGTGGAGCGTCAGAAATGTCGAGATAAGGTACCACTAGAATTTCGCGGATTCATCACGTTCGATAAGTTCTGTGCCGGCTTTACGAATGGTGAGTATCTATGTATGCAAATAATTGTGCAAGATTAACTTGTATTTGTTGTGTCGCGTTTGAACTTTCGCGAAATTGACGCGAGATCATTGTACATGATTGAGAATTAGTCAATTTATAAATGGATAATGACGTAATTAGGCAACAAGTTAATGTGTATTTGTATGCTACAGTAGATAACATATGATGTCAATTATTGGTTGAGTTAAGATAACAGAAGAAAATTCACATTTTCATTGTTAGTGTTTTTAGTTTGTATAAATGAGTTGAAAGTTCTGCGAGGCTCCAAAACTTCAATGCACGGTTCTTTGCATGGTTTTCAGGTTCAAGCGCCTGCGATGGAGACAGCGGTGGCGGTTTATGTTTTGAGAAAGATGGTATTTGGTATCTTCGTGGTGTCATCAGCGCGTCTCCCCAGAAGAATGGCCATTGCGATTTCAACTCTTACGTTGCATTTACCCGGATCAGTACCTATCTTGAATGGATTCATAATTTTTACGTCAAACTGTAAACATCTACAGGGAAGTGGGTTGTACGATATACGAAATATGTTGTTTATATTATCGAACCGGCAATGACTCGGGACGAATGGACGATCAACAAAGTAGTAAGAGCGACAAAATCCTAAATATTGACAATTATCCTGAATTTTGTATTCATTTTGCAAAATGCTCCGGCAACTTCAGTGAACATTGATGGACAAACAGAAATGGGAAATCTAAGATCCGCGACTTAAGTCGCTTTTGTATTACAAAAATGGTAATTATTTAGAATAGGGAGCCAGTTCAAACACTTGAATCTTGACATACGTTATTGAGGACATCTTATTGAGTAACCTATTGTAGGTTTTAGCCGTCGCTCATTGTTTATTAAAAAGTTATAGATAAATGAAATTGTTTAATGCGAATCAAGATTCCGCATGGGTTTGCAACTTTCCACGCGAAACTAGGACGGACAGGGAGGGTGCGGGAGGGGGGCCTTTGGCCCCCTCCCGCACCCTCCCCGTCTGTCCTAGTTTTGCGTGGAAAGTTGCAAACCCATTTCCTTCAGCATGTAGACGTGTGTTTTTCTTTCGATGTATAACCAGTACAAAAAAGGTAATTAAACAAATCAAGCGAAGCAAAAAAGTACGTAAATAAGTCTCTATACACAGTGTTGTACAATTATTTCCACAGAAGACACGTAGTACTTCAATACGTGGGCATTATTCATTACACTTTTTTGTTAATAACTTTTTAATTAGCATCGACCGACAACTAAAATTTGTTGCATGTTATTAAGGGAGGGTAGTAATAATAATATATGTGTGAATTATTGAAATCCCTATTCTAAATAATTACCACAAAAATTCGATAAATCATTAAACTAAATTATGTTCTAGCTGTTTGTAATCACTTGGCCATTGCTCAACGGTTGTCTGCGATTTTTATCTTTAGACTTCCGTACACAGAAAACTTCGTACAGAGTGACTATTAAGATTGTATGGAAGTAAATGGTAAATTACCTCGCAACAAGTAGGGCGAACAAAATAAATCATACGCTATTCTGTAGAATAAAGTTGTCAAGTTTATTACCATACGTATGAATAAAAGAACATAATATTTTAATAACATAAATACACTTTATAAAAAAAGGACAAAATTTTGCACGCGTATATAAACTGATGGTAGATATTTTCAAAATGTTGTTCATCGAAATGAGCATAGAACTGCAACCGTTTTCGAAAGCTTTGAAATGCATTATTCAACATTGCTATAGAAATGTTACGAGTGTATTTTCGAGTCTTTCAGTTTTTCGATATTTTTTAGTTATTCAGTGTAGTATTTGTGTTGGGTATCTTGGCGTTCGCTACGCTTCCACGCAGGTGATCATTGGAATTTTCGCGTCATCATCGTCAAGATCGAGCGTGGTCGAGAAAATTAAATTTCTCTAATTTGAAATTAATATAGTGCAAAAATTTTTGGCCAAAATCATTTTTGGCAATATATTATGAATAGAAAGAGCAAGTGACTTGTAACTATAAGTAAATATAAATCTGTGATGACGTACAGAAAGTAATATTCGTACAAGGGCAGTCTGAAAACTTTTCGGCCTGAGACATAGATGGCATTAGAAACTGTCGAACTATAATTGTATTGGAAAATGGCACCACTGATATAAACCCATGTAAATTTTATTTCGATCTGTCAAGTCATTCGAGTAGTAGCATCAGTTTAATATTGACGTGTCATTGTCTTTTTTAAAATGGAAATATTGAATATCGTGCAGTGATTAAATTTTTTGTTTTGGATGGTTTAACACCAACAGAAATTCTTCCGAAATTGTTAAAAGTGTATAAGGATGCATCACCTTCACTTTTCACTGTGAAAAAATGGGCTGTTCTTTTTAAATCTGGTCGTACAAGCCTCGAAGATGATCCACGCGAAGGTCGTCCAAAAACTGCTACAACACCACCATTCAACAAGTCTATGATATGGTGTTAGATGATCGACGAATAAAAATGCGTGAAATAGCTGAGACCATAGGCATCTCAAAAGAAATTGGAAATATTTTGCAAATTGGAAATATTTTGCATGAAGAATTACATATGAAAAAGCTTCGTGCAAGATGGGTGCCGCATTTGCTAACAATTGACTAAAAACGCATTCGAATGCGTATTTCTCAAGCGTGTTTGGATCGTTTTAAACAAAATAAAACGGACTTCAAGCATCGTTTCATAACTGTTGATGAAACTTAGATCCACCACTATACACCAGAGCGAAAAGAATAGTCGAAACAATGGATTGAAGCTGGTGGAAGTGCATCAAAGAAGACAAAGACGGTTCTATCAGCAGGAAAAGTTATGGCAACAGTTTTTTGGGATTACAAAGGTATTTTGTTGATCGATTATCTTCAGAAAGGTAAAACAATTAACTCTGAATATTATTGTAACTTTTTGTATCTATTGGATGCAAAAATTCGTGAGGAAAGACCTGCTTTAAAGAAGAAAAGAAGCGTTTTCCATCAAGACAATGCACGTGTTCACACAAGAGGTTTGACAATGGCAAAATTCAACAAATTAAAGTACTAATTGCTTGAATATCCAGCGTATTCACCAGATTTTCCCGCATCCAGAGTATTCTCCAGACATGGCACCGTGGGATTACCATCTCTTCCGGTCGATGCAACACGCACTTACGGACATACACTTCTCCAGTTACAATAAAGTCCAAAAATGGGTGGATGAAGACCCGCGTTTTACAGTCGTGGGATTGCCCTGTTGCCGGAGAAATGAGAAAAAGTAGTAGAAAATGAAGGAAATTACTTTGCTTAAGGTTCATTCATCTTCCCTTCGAAACAAATCAATTTTGCAGACGAAAAACGGTAGGAATTAAGTTTACCACTTAATATTAACGTTTAGAAAGGAATTTGTATAATTAGGAAAATGTTTGATTGATGGAATTAGTTTTCTGCTGAAACATGAATGATTCAGTTTCGACTTGAAAAACCAGGGTATTGTTTAAGTTAACTAGAAATCTTGGTAATTTATACTGCAATCTGATAATTTTAATCGGGACTTCGTTGTCGTTCGCATTTCATTAGGAAATTGTTTAATACAATCAAACATTTTTCTCCATGTAATAATCTCATTGAATGTTAATGACTTAGGTATTATATCAAATCTTGTACGGAATGTTATAACGAGTTATAATATAACGGTCTGTGTAGTTGATGCATTTGAATCGAAAAACGTCATTTGAATGAGGAAAATATTATCTCTCGATCTAGTAGTATTGTTTTCATTAGTTCTCCTCTGGCGTAGGCACCAATTATGGCCGCTGCTGACCAATTACTCGTGATTCACCGTAATATATGCAAGGCGACCTTCTACACGAAGGTGTTGATCGAGCCTCAATACCGCATCCGCGGCAGTTTTGCGTTGACTGACTTCGAGAATGAAAATCGCTTAACGGAAGAGTGTGCAGATATGAACACGAACGCAGCATTGTCGGCAATTTTGCCGTTGCTTGTTTTACTACCGTCATGTGAGTAGTTGGTTGTTATTAGTATTATTTAATATGCGATAACATGCATCCGATATGTCAAATTCACGTCACTCATGTTGATTTTTCCTTCATTCATCTGCGTTTAAAAATAAAATAGAAATAGATATGTGAGAAATTTGAGACGCACATATAAAGAAATTGATTGTATCATTTAGAGTTAAAATAAATTAATCGATTTAAAATTACTCAGGATTATAAAAAAATATGAATATATTAATCAGATTATTTAGTGCAATATGAACTACCCAGAATTTTGATTAAGTTAACTAGACGATTTTGGTTGCATGGGTCCTGGGAAAAACAATCGGCTAAATTCATACGAATAAAACAACAAAATTATATTTATATTTTCGACTAGAGAATTTCTTTACTTTTTTAACTGAATTTTTTTCACATGATATTAGTGTTTCCTTTCCAAACCAAAACATTCAGATACTTTGGCCATATACTTAATTACCTTATTAAAATTTTCTTATCATATGAATCCTGCTAAAGTTTTTCCATTCATACATACGATAGAGCTACGATCACAGATTAGTTGATAGCATACGCTCAAAAATTTACATTTTCAGCGTCTGCACGCTTTGATTATCCTGTTGAAGTAGATTGCGGCAAATATACGAAACACGACGGAAAGGTAATCGTAAATGGAGTCGAGGTTAAATCGGAGGTGTCCCCTTGGCATGTCCTTATCTATTTTAAAGAAAAGAACATGACATACATTCAGATATGCAGTGGTTCTCTCATCAACGACAATTTCGTCATCTCAGGTGAGTTATTGAGCGAACAAATTTCTCCCTTATTTCGTTTATCCCGTCTTCCTCCATTTCTTCGCTATATTCACAGTGCATCAGTGCTTCTACGACGAGGATTCAAAAAGTGCTAAGGACGCATCGAATCTCGTTGTGGCAGCCGGCAAACGTTATCGCGCCTGGGATGCCGACGAGCAATACAGTCAGAAATCGTTGGTGGAAAGTATCGTAGTGAGTGATATCTTCTCGGACATAGCTCTATTAAAGCTAAAAACGCCGCTTGAACTAAACATGTTGGTGCGTCCCATTTGCATCCATTGGGAAAACGATGTTGGAGATATGGTGCTGCAACGGGGACTTGGCAAGGTAACGACAGCAAGCATCAATCGTGCAAAAGCCGATTCTGCTATTGGGCGTTTTCATGCCGTTTATCCAAGTATACTTTTGCAGCTGGACACGAGTACCGCGTATATAGAAAACTAATTGTTTTTAAATATATCATAATGACGCGATTTCGAATTAAACTTTAGTCATGCGCATGTCGGCGTGTGTCGTTACGTTGTATCAATGTTACTTAATTGTATCACATGTTTCGTTTACACCCCCGTGCTCAGGATAAATCATAAAGGATACATTTGTATTTAAATGTATCGGTTATTTAATTTTCGCGAAATATACGACGAAGGTCCCAGCGCGTCGTCACTAAAGGAGAGACAAATGGAAATTAAATGTAAAGGGAGGATAAATATATGGATTCATGGTCGTAATTTCAGATGGTTGTATGGAATAAAAACATCAACGACCAACATAACCAGACTATGTACGAAGTTGATATGATGTACATGTCGAGAAGGCAATGTGTGGCTAAGAGCCCTGTAGATCTTAGCCAATTTACAAAATTTGGCATAAGATGGGATAGGTACTGCGCACGCCGTTTGAACGGTAAGTATCTATCCGCGCAAATGATTTACGGTAAATTCGTCCGTGCTTATTATGTCTCATTTGAACTTTCACAAGGTTATTGTGAGATAATTGTACGTTGACAATGGATAATGAGGTAATAATAGAACAAGATAACGAAATGATAGCTATTACCACTGATGATGCGCGATTACATTTTATTGTTATAAAGCTGAGAAAAACACGTGTTTCCAATTCCTTAGTATTCGGTCGATATAAATGTCATAAAAATAATTATCAGATTCAAACGTCTGCAATGAAGATGGCGGTAGCGGCCTATATGAACAGATAGGAGAAGATTGGTATCTTCATGGTGTCGTCCAAATGAGTGACAAATACGGGAATATCGATCGTTGCGCTTACAATAACTCATTTGTTGGATTTTCTATCATCGGTCACTCCGTCCATCACATGGTTAGGGATCTTAAGGGAACGTATACGTAAACGTGTAGAAGGACATCGGTTGTTCGATGCATGAAATATGTAGCCGGTATCGCATCAAGTTTACAATTATGCGGGATAAATGGATGTGATGTATGAATGACATACATTAACAGTGACAAAAGCCTAAGAAGCAACCATTGTATTGAGTCTTTCTCTACATACTCCGGCAATGTGGAGATGGAGAGAGGCGCTCAAATGCGAAATAAGAATCGAAGAGAATGCAGACCGGTTTCTTTTTTCCACTTGATATTTAAGTATTGCTAAAAGATAATCAACATGTCAAAGCCACTTTTAATAAATTTCTCTTACCTCATCATGTGCATTAATTAACCTTTCTTCTTTCGTTAATATCTGAAGATTTTACATGCTTATTTGCAAGGGAATTTTTTCTTCAATTTAATCCAATCTAACGTTGCACACAGCGGTTGTGTGTTGAATTTATAAATATCTGAATATATATGAAAGAGGAAAAAGAAATTCAACCATACTGGGTTGCGCGATATTGGTACTCTCAAAAACGTAAAGTTTATGTGATGTTGTTATAAATATAAAAATCCAGTTCCATTGATCTATTGAGGAAAAATAGCTTGGTTAAAAATTAATGCGCCGTGTTCGATAGAAATAAGTTTTAAATGATCATAGCAATATCGAAGGGAACAGTAATATATACGAGTGTGATTGCACTTATGCGATAATACTGTTGCACTTAACAGGACTAAGTTGTACGTGTGTGAAGTGAGCTCCGCACTTTTCGAATTTTGTATTTTTTCGAATTGTGCTGCATTGTGCTACGTTTGTGCAGTATTATATCGCAATCTGCAACTCTGTAACTCAAAGCGTATTCAAGAAAATTAAGAAAAACTAAATTTTTGGTAGCACCGCACTTTCCGAATTTTGAGTTTTTCTTTATTGTGCCGTATTATGCTATGGTTGTGTTTATTTGTACCGCAAACGTGAGATTGATAACTTCAATAACATTTGAGATATAAAATAAAAACGAAAATTTGCCAACCCCCCACTTTTGTCCGAATAAACCCAATTTTTGTTTGTGATTTCCTACTAATTTATGCCGTGTTGTGCCGTTTGAAGAAACTGGATCTCTTTTCGTTCCGTAGAAAAAACATGTTAAAATTAAAATAAAATTTGAATTTAAAATAAAAATTAACAAATAACTTTATCTACAATGCATTTGTCGCAAGTCTGCAAGTTGTGCTGAATTGTGTTGATCAAGTACAATAAGAAACCTCTTAGAGATGTCTTGGAAAAAAGTTATTTAAGGCGTGCACTATATTGTTGACAGTTCTATTGTTGCTGGCTTTATTGCCATCGTGTGAGTTTTAACTTACATAACATTTTTTATTACGTGCTGCAGCTGTTGTTCTTGATAATACGTTCGCGTTTTACAAAATTCCATACAAAGATTGACAAGTAGTTTATGAAAGATCGTGATTTACTGCGCTAATACTATGCATCGTTTATTGTCCAAAATGTATAGTAATAAAATTTTATCGGAAAGAACATGGAGAGTTTGTTTTGAACGCTTTCGTTCGCTTTCAAAACGGTAATTTTGACATGAGAGACAAAGAACGTCCTGGACAACTGAAAAAATTCGAAGATGTTAAGCTGCAAGAATTGTTCGATGAGAAACCAGATTAAATGTTTTTAAAGTTGTCCAAAGCATTAAATGTTACTCCAATGGCCGTCTCAAAACGCTTGCATGCCATAAGAAAAATTCATAAAAAAGGGATATAGCTACCACATGAGATGTCAGAAAATGCCATTTTGAATCGTTTTTCTACCGCAACTTCTTTGCCTACCATGCAAAGAAAAAGAGTTTATTGTAGCACATCGTGATTGTTGATGAAAAATGGATTTATTTTAATAATCTCGAGAGGAGGATATCATAGGTGGTCTCCGGTCAACCGTCCATTTGAACGCCGAAGAGGAATACTCACGGACATAAGAGTTTGCTTTGCATTTGATAAGACTAAGAGGATGTTCTCTATTATGAGCTCTTGCTTCCAAATGGAACTGTTACAGTTGATCGCTACCAACAGTAATTATGCCGATTGAGTGACGAGTTAATGCAATAAAGACCATCCGTAGCCAACAAACGATGCAAAGTTATTCTCTTACACGATAACGCTCGACCGCATGTTGCGAAATGCGTGAGCAGATACTTCCAGATCTTGAATGGGAAGTCCTGCCACATCCAGCATATTCTGCAGACTTGGCACCGCTGGATTACCATCTCTTCCGGTCGATGCAACACGTACTTACGGACATACACTTCTCCAGTTACGATAAAGTCTAAAAATGGGTGGATGAATAGATCGTCTCAAAAGACACCGAGCTCTACAGTCGTGGGATTGCCCTGTTATCGGAGAAATGGGAAAAAGTAGTAGAAAATGGAGGGAATTACTTTGCTTAAGGTATTCATCTTCTCTTTGAAACAAATCAATTTTGGAGACGAAAAACGGTAGGAATTAAGTTTACCACCTAATATTAACGTTTAGAAAGAAATTTTTATAATTAGGAAAATGTTTGATTAATCGAATTAGTTTTCTGCTGCAACATGAACGATTCAGTTTCGACTTGAAAAACCAGGGTATTGTTTAAGTTAACCAGAAATCTTGGTAATTTATACTGCAATCCGATAATTTCAATCGGAACTTTGTTGTCGTTCGCATTTCATTAGGAAATTGTTTAATACAATCAAACATTTTTCTCCGTGTAATAATCTCATTGAATGTTAACGACTTATAGCTATTATACTAAATCTTGTACGGAATGTTATAACGAGTTATAATATCAGTCTGTGCAGTTGATGCATTTGAATCGGAAAACGTCATTCACGAATGAGGAAAATATTATCTCTCAATCTAGTAGTGTGGTTTTCCTTAAGTTTTCCTGTGGTGGTGGCATTAATTATGTCGTGATTAATTCGTCGTGATTCACCCTGATATATGCAAGGCGACCTTCTACACGAAAGTGTTGATCGAGCCTCAATATCGCATCCGCGGCAGTTTTGCGCTGACTTCGAGAATGAAAATCGCTTTACGGAAGAGTGTGCAGATATGAACACGAGCGCAGCATTGTCGACAGTTTTGTCGTTGCTTGTTTTACTACCGTCATGTGAGTAGTTGGTTATTATTATTATTATTTAATATACGATAACATGCATCCGATATGTCAAATTCACGTCACTCATGTTGATGTTTTCTTCATTTATTTGCGTTTAAAATAAAATAGAAGTAGATACTTGAGAAATTTGAGACGTACATATCAAATAATTGATTGCATTATTTAGAATATGAAAATAAATTAATTGATTTAAAATTACTCAGGATATAAAAAATATGAATATATTAATCAGATTATTTAGTGCAATATGAACTACCCAGAATTTTGATTAAGTTAACCAGACGATTTTGGTTGCATGGATCCTTCGTTCGTGCTTGTTACGTCTCGTTTGAACTTTTACAAGGTTCATGCGAGATAATTGTGAGTTGGATATTTTTCTCTCTTCGGAACGAAAATAAAATGCAGGTCCCGAACGCACGGCGTCCCGTCGCCACCTAGTACGTCCTCCTTCTTTTATGGTGGATCCCCCTTCGGCGCGTTGCAAAAACATGTCCAAGCGCCCGGGAGCAGCCAAAATATGGCGTCGACTCCGGGGCTTATTTGTATGATTTGCACCGGATAAGGAGGGGCAACGGTGGAGGCCGGCATACATGGACAGTAGGTCTTAAAGGATAGCAACCTTGACTTTGAAAGACCTCCAGCTTGTACCACTAGGTACAAGTAACAATACCTCTCTCTGTAGTCGCTGTGCGCTCGGGATAGCACTAGAGATGTCACTTCCGAACGACATCTCTTAAAGTTATCTAGAGAGAGGAGAGTGTTGTGAGTGTGGAGCGTCAGGTAGCTCAGTGGTTTTAAAGCAATCGCCCGGCAAGTGAAAGAGGACCCCCGGGTTCGATTCCCGGTCTAGCGACTATCGTGCTCTCGATATTTTTCTCTCTTCGGAACGAAAATAAGATGTAGGTCCCGAACGCACGGCATCCCGTCGCCACCTAGTACGCCCTTCTTCTTTCATGGTTAATGGATAATGAGGTAATAATATAACAAGATAATGAAAAGACAGCTATCACCACTGATGGTGTTACGCGTTACGTTTCATTGTTATAAAGTCGAGAAAAACGCGTGTTTTCAATTCCTTAGTATTCAGTCGATATAAATTTTATGAAAATATCGAACGATTATCAGATTTAGGCATCTGCAATGAAGATGGAGGTAGCAGTTTATATATTGAGGAGGGAGAAGTTTGGTACCTTCGTGGAGTCGCCTCTGTCAAATACGGGGTTGTCGATCGTTGCGTTTATAAAGTTCATAAAGATTCAAATGTTGAATTTACCTTTGTCAATGACTTCAAATATCGGATTCTTAAGAAATTGCTTAAACGTGTAAACGAATGTCAGTTATCCGATGCACAAAATATGTAACCAGCATCACCGAACTCGCAATAACGTAAGACGAATGGACGTGTCATATGGATGAGATAATATCAGACACAAAAGTTCAAAAAGTGATAATTGTATATGTATGTTCAAATATATATACATTAGAGTTGTAACAAAAGTGCTTATAACGAAGTGAATGCGAAAGCGGAAGAAAAAAAAAGGATTTTATGAAAGCGAAAGCAAATGCAAATGCGAAAGCGAAAGATCTTGTTTCTTTCTACTGAATGATGATTGCCAATGAATAAATTAGTAACTTCCCAGACAACATAATGTCCAAAATCGAGACATAAGACGTCTTTAAGTCGTCTTTATACTATGACATCTTAAATTCTATTTCCACTTCATCATAAAAATACCAAATAAAATTGGATTTTGGTTACATTGTTATTGTTATCACTTATTACATATCACACTTAATTATTTCACTGTTATAATTTATACATACAGAAGTTTACTTACACTCATTTGTTTTCAATAAAATTAAGCTCTAAAGTCTAAAATGTCTCTAAACCGGAAAATCAATGAATGAAATATAAACTGTACTCCTCCGCCGTCCAGTGTGTTCCCAGCAAAGCTGCGAATCCCGCGGGCTGGACAAAATCTTTCGTCAAAAGTTGCGATAGCGAAAGCGAAAACGAGAGTCTAAAATAATGCGAAAATCTCGGTTTCGCAAATGCGAAAGTGAATATTCGTACAACCCTAATATACATATACACAAATACATACATGATATACCGGCAATATCGTTTGAAGTGGAGAAATGATGATATAAAGATTTTCACTGTTGTGTGTTCTCGTCTTTAAATTGCAGATTAAATAAATAGTTAAATTGCATGATATACTTTTCTCTTTAATTTCTGTGTCACTACTCATTCGTCGACTCCGAATTTTTTCTTATGGGCAAATCACTTTATGCATCAAGTGATGACGACATTGTATTTTCTTAAAAATGGTAATTCTTTCGTCAACAAATCATCGTATTTGCTATATTAATATTTTATTCGTTTATGCTGTATATTTTTCATGTCAGTTGCGATCAAATGTAAGTACGCGGTCATGCTCTACGCGCTGCCTTTCTATTCCCTCTCTTATTGTCAAATGATATTTCTTAAGTATTGTCAATAAATAATCAACAAGTCGAAGCAATTTTCAATGAGATCGTAGCTGCAGAGCTCGTTCCATAACATTATGCGTATTGATTAGTCTATCCACTTTCATTAATATCTCAAAATTTCACCCGATTGTTTGAAAAATGCTAGAAGAATCTTTTGTTCAACTTGACTCACTCTACTCTTTTATGCCGCGAGTGTGCTTTGAGTTTGACTTGAGTTGAACACATATGAAGGAGAATAAAATTATACAGGTATGTTGAAATGCGCGATCGGCTTTATCGAAAGCATTGATGTAAATTTTTAAAATGTGTTTCCATTAATCTATACATTTAACATTGTCAACACTAAAGTATCGACATTTCATCTTCAAGGTTATATGATAATTACGCAACATTTCGCAATCATAGACGTTCATAATTTTTATTATCCTAACATTATTTGTTATATTTCGACATTGGTTGTAAATTTCTCTACGAATGGCTATTATCAAATTTATAATATCATTCAAGTTTCATACAAGTTTTTCTCCTTGCTCCAGAATCAACATGCCAAGTTAATTGGTGCAGATTCATCTTAAAATAAACTGGTTAACCTTCTACGTAAAGCAGAGCTAGAGGCGATTTGCACATTTTGAGTGAAATTCAAGAGGTGGCATCTACAGTCCCCTCAGTGATGATAAGTCGTGGGAAAAGTCGCACACTCGCACTGAGCAAACGCTGTGGTAGCTTCACGGACATATATATCTGAAGGTATCGTTAGGTCCCCACTATGAAAGAAATGTGAAGGAAATTATAGGGAACGAAAAAAGCTTCTGTTCAATAAATATATTATAGTTTATATATGAATAATAAAAGATAATAATAAAACTTATTAATTTGTAATTTTTTTACATCTGCAGCCAATATATTATATTTATTATTCCTATTGCACTTATTATCACAGTTCTTTCTTAATTTATCACTACATTTATCGCTACACTTATTTATTATAACATTTTACATTATGCATATATAACCTAAGTATTCACGGGAAAAACGCGAAACAACTATAATGGACAGCCGCGCAGGACTTTTCGCGCACTATTTGCACCTACTATCTGCGTTTACATCCATCACTGGAAACGCTTGCGTCGAGCTCTGACGTCATGCTCACGTGACGTGTGACGCATGCGTACAACGGCTCCCATATGGGAAAAATTCCCACGACTAGTCATCACTGGGTCCCCCTGCTCTGCTTCGCGCTCAGCGGCCAAGGTGACGCCGACGATTGCAGTGCGTTCAGGTCCGCCGCTGTATAAGAAATCAGCAGAAGCATCATATTATCAGCACCCTTATATTATCATTAAAATTTTTTTCTCGTTTAATAATCACTTTAAAATATATATGTTTATGCGTTATATATATATATATATATATACATATTTCGCCATATATATATATATAACACATAAACATATAGACCCATATTCAGAACATGCTTATAACTATGTTAGTGCGTTGTTAACTAATCAGAAGGCATATTGCGCGGCTTTTCATTGGTTAACAGCGCGCTAACATAGTTACAAGCGTGTTCTGAATATGGGCCATTTATTTTAAAATAATTATTAAACGAGGAAAAATTTTAATGATAATATGATGCGAGAGTACGCTCCAGTTGATTCTTATACAGCGACGGACCTGAATGTACTGCGATCGTCGTCTCGGCTGAGCGCAGAACGGTGACAGGTGGACGGTGAGTGTCACCTTTCGAATTTTGTCCGAAATGTGCAGATCGTTTCCAGCTCTGACGTAAGCACCGGTTAGACCTCGATGTGAGCCTCGCGTTCAGTTTCTCATTGACTGTAAAGTAGCTATTTTTCTATAGGCGTTTCTATAATTATGAACGCATATGCTGTATTGACAGTATTAACGACAGTTTCGTTGTTGCTGACTTTATTGCCATTCTGTGAGTATTTTATATAACGCTTTTCAATTCACGCTTTTGCTCATTACTCTGATAGAACGGTCGCGCGTCGTAGATCAAATCCGTGTGAAAAATTGCCGGCAGAATGCTAAAGTGACATTGTGCGGTTATGGGATTTAATCATATCGGGATTTGACGTGTTTCTATGTCGCGAGCAATCGGTCGTGTCGTCCTTCAAGTAATGACATTAAAAATAATGTACCGAGGAATACGTTTCTTATAATTTTTTATAATTTGTTTCTTATAATTCTATTTATAATTCTATAATGCGATATTCCGATGCATCCAAGTAACATCACTCAGCTACTTCTTTATTTATTTGCATTTAAAATCAAAATAGGATGTATGAAAATTTTCAAGCGCACATGAAAAAATTTGCTACATTAATGAGATATATGGATATATTAATCAGATTGTGTAAAATATAAATATAGAGAGTTCTTATCATTATAATATAAAATAGAATTATAATATAATGATTCTTATAAAAGATAACATTTTTTAATGATACTTATGATAGAATGTAGATTTATATGATTATATAATAAATATTATAATAGATACTTTTACAAAAATATTTCACCGTTTTCAGTTCTTAAAAATCGAGTTTGATTAAATTTGAGTTATAAAAAGTGTGCATTCAACTTAGCGAGTCTGACACCGTCTTTAGATCGGAAATTTGGCAAAATCATTAGGCTAGATTTTGCGTACAAATTTCTGATTTGAGGATCAATATATATCATTGTATATAGCTGGTATTATATATAAATGTTTTGTTTGAATATCTGCATATTTAATTAGAGTAATTATACAATCTGTATATTTGCAGATATAGTGCATATATAAATCCGATTATGAAACTTCGTTAAATTTATTCTTGCGCGTATTTCTTTTTCTATAATTATCACTGTAGCAATATAATATGATTGGATTACTGATTATGACCTTTTTTTCTTACTTTCTTTTTCTTCATTAGATGAACGGAACACATCCTTCATTTAACGAAGAAAGATTTACTGACAGATTTGAATAAATAATAAAATATGGACACTTGAAAGTAAATATGTCGATCAATAATAATATATGTATTAAAAATCTTTCTGATTATGTTTTAATTATTCTAATTATATATAATTCTAATTATATATATCTAATTATATATATTAAAAATCTTACTAATTATAATAGAATAATTTGTGAGGATTAATTGGTAGCATCCATATAAATGGGTGAGCACTGGTAATGGAGGGTTTCTTAACATACAATGTTTTAGCGTTGTCTATCCTAACACAATATTCCAAAATGAAAAATGCAAAAATTCATATTTTCAGCGTCTGCACAAATTAATAATTATTTATGGTTCAATAATGGACAAATCAATATTGGCCAATTTGGAGCAGGCAGTAATCCGGCATTTACGATCCCATCATCTTTGAATTTGAAATCCGAGAACATGGAACCTATGATTCCGGCATCTACAATTGTGAATAAGCCTTCAGTGGACAATACAAATTGGATTATCAAACTGGGAAAAAACATTAATTGTCTTAATGGAGACTCTAAGGAGAATTATCCTAATTGGTGCTTTCTTAACAGGGATAACCCTAACGGATACTTTCCTAGCAATGGATACTCTAGTAGCAATTACCCTGACGGGGCCAGTGCTATTGAAAAGCCTCTTAACATATTCAACATCTATTTCAACATAATGTCCCCAAATGGAGGCTATCCTGATGAGAATTATCCTAACAAGGCTAATGATAATGAGAAGCATCTTAACGGACAAAATCTCACCATTGCCACTCTTAACGTAGTCCCTCACAAGGAAGCCTCTTCTAACAAAGGTTATCCTAACGGGACTAATAATAATGGAGGGTACCTTAACGGACAAAATCTCAACACTGTCTCCCTTAATGTAGTCCCCCAGAATGGAAGCAATCCTAACGGATTTAATAATAACAGCGAGAATCTTAACAAACGAAATCTCAATATCATCTTTCCTAACGTGGTCTCCCATAATGGAAGCAATTCTATGGAATGGAATTCTAACGGAAGTTATTCCAGCGATGTACATCCCATCGAGATCTCTCCTAATAGAAGCAGTCCCCATCCTGAAATATCGAGTTTGAATAATTTAAATAACGGGATTGGACAAAATTTATCAATAGGTACTTATTCCCCTATTGAGCCATCAACCAGTAGTCCTTTAGGATTAAACTTTTCTATGGACAGTATAAACATGACGAAAGTATCCGAAAGTAGGAACAGAGCAGCGACACCATTTCAATTCAATAAGTTTAGTTACAGTACTAGCCAAAATAATTAACAAACTATTTATAAATTAATTTTTTTAAATACAGATGCTAGCGACGTAAATGATGGTATACCAGGAATAAACAAAACGCAGCAGGATCGTGGACAGTGCAGGTATGCACAATTGTTTTACAATTGTTGTACGCTACAGATAATGTATTATTAGTTTTTATTTCATAACATACAACGGATGGATCTGTCTTGTTGTTGATGTTGGATAGAAAGGAGATTAAGGCCCATATTCTGAACTCTCTTTCATCACTAAAACTGACTCTAAGCTGGCTTATAACCAATTAAGAGGCTTATAAGCCACTTTTATAGTCACTTTTAACAATAAAAGAGAATTCAGAATGCCTAAGTGTATCCAACAAAAACATTTAATTATCATATTTAAACAGAGACGATGAGTTCCGCTGTGGAAGTAACGAGTGCGTACCGTCTAATGTCAAATGCGATAATAAAGCTGATTGTAGCGACTCCAGCGATGAGGCATTCTGTATTACGTAGGTTAAATACTTCCTTGCCACAATTTCCTATACACACAATTACATATACACACACACAATTTCCATATAAAACCACTAATGACTAATCATCAATAGGATTTTACACTCTTCATGCTAGGTCTGCTAATAATAGATCAAACACTAGATGTAATAATATTTTTATTTCCTACTGATTACTATACTCGAATCAATAATTTATACGCACGCATTCGCGGAAATTTAGGGAAGGAGATCAAGAAAATGGTTGCGCATTACCTGAGCAGCCGACAGGTGGACGTTATAAATTGGGAGAATGCGACGAGCTATGCCGCAAACAGCCTGGCGATATAGTTCCGCAACACAGTATTCTCACTTATACTTGTAATGACGATTACGCGTTGGAGAGTAGCAATATTACTATTTGTGTCAACAACATATGGAAACATCAGATCTCCTGTCTCAGTGAGTCTCTCTTGACAATAAGTATTCGCAAGAAATGGCTATAATGTCTTTCGTTTCGGCTATAATGGTATAATGTCTTTCGATACGAGTTAATTATTAAGAATATATTAATGCATAATTATTAAAATTAATGCTTTTACAAAAAAGCAACGTTCTCTTTATTTAACCGATGGATGGTAAAATTGATGGCGCATTCGATGTTTATATCCGCAGAAATTTGCCCGCCGTTGAACAGTACCAACGTCTACATTTCCTGCAATTATCGAGGGGAAGAGGTGTCTTGTAGTGAACCTATACTGCCTGGGACACAAGCCACGTTGACCTGTAAACCATTTTATAGATTTTCTGTAACCACTCTGAGTAACTCGTGGATGAAGTGTCTCGACAGTGGAATATGGGATATCAACATGTTTGACTGTGTACCAGGTGAAAATGACTTATTTATTTTTCATTCATCAGATATGAGGCGTGAACAGAAATGTCTCTACAAATTGAGCGAGTTTCGCTAATTCCTTTCTAGCATAGAAAGTGCTATTTTTATCTAAAACTTTTCGTGTAACCGTGCTCGTTAAGATTTCTGAGCACACTCAACGTCATGTTGGATCGTAATACTAGGGACAAGAAAAGTGGCACGCTGAAAATTCTTTCCTACTATTTCCAAAATATGATATTTTTATGAGATGTTTATATTAATATTTATATGAAAAAATATGTTGAATCATGTGAGTATCTATAAAATGCCCCGAAAATTATCCTGTCTTTTTTATTATTCATGTATAAGTACAAAATGACTATAATATATATATGGTCTAGTTATAAGAATGCATAACTATTTGCGTGATCAAACTTCATATCACACTGACTTTAGCGCAGTCGACTGCGCGTTCAAAGCATTTTATAGGTATATTCTAGCAATCTGAAGCATTATTCCTTCATATAAATATATTTTTATTTAAAACGGTGTGCAAGAATTTATAATTTTGTCATTTTCTTGTTTGTTACATCACAGTTAAAATTATACCTAAGGATTTAATAACTGTTTGAGCTCTCCTCGTTCTTAGTTGTTGAACATGTTTGCCGTTGTTGGCGAATAGTCGGTAATTACGTAATTACATTTTTGAGACATTTCCGTCTCGCTATTCATCTGTGATGGCTTGTATAATCGTCATCGCGGTTTTCGGTTACGGAAATACTAACAACGTTGTTGTGCACAAGTAGTGTGTGGCGTAATCATCTCGCAAACCACACTACAACCATTGTCAATTGGCAACGGCTTTAGGCCCGCAGTGGGCTCGTTTCCCTGGCACGTTGGTATCTACGTAAAAGATGGCGCCAAGACGTACAAGAATATTTGCGGTGGCAGTCTGATAACTAAGAATCTCGTCATCTCAGGTAAGTCAACGAACAGACAAATCTATTTTCTTCTCATCGCTCCTTTATACAAGTCTCGTTTTCTTTCTCTATCCGTAGCTGCACATTGTTTCTACGATGAGATTGAAAATAAACTTTACAACGCGTCGAATTACGCTGTGGCTGCCGGTAAATACTATCGTTCTTGGGATGCCCCGGAGCGGTACAGCCAGAAGTCGATGGTGGAGTATGTAAAATTGCCCTCCGACTACTTTGGAACAAGTGGTAACCTTGCCGAGGATATAGCTTTGGTGAAACTACAAACGTCTTTCGTTTTTAACATGTATGTGGTACCCATCTGTGTGGATTGGCGAAACAAACATGACCATCAGCAGTTGCGAGAGGGACAATCAGGTATGGTAAGTAAACAAGTATAAATCGCATATAAATCCCAAGAAAATCTATTGGTTGGGTATCTTCACGTAGTTCAGTTAAAGTGAGGACGCTTTGTAATCTAGCGGCGCAATCAATGGCAAGGTAATCGCAGAATATATCATAATAACGTGTTTACGAATGTAACTTTGGTCATATACATGTCGATGTGTGCTGTTGTATCAATGTTACCTCATTATGCAGCACGTCAGAATTGTAAGTTTACATATTTGTGTTCACAAATCTAAAATTGATAAAGTTGTATTCAAACATATACATTATCTAATTTTTGGGAAACAACGAACGTCTCTTCGCGTGTTTCATCATAAAAGGATAAAAATTAAATTTAAAAGAATATCAAACGCGTGAGTTTATGGCTGTAATTTGAATCAGCCCGAGCGAAAACATCAAATGAAGGCGAACGCCTTCATGCAGTTTAATCAAATAGATATTTTGCAATGGAAGCACGAATACGTAACATTTGGAAAGTTATTAAAAAATTGTCAAAAATTGTCAAAGACAGAAGACATGTTTCTCAAAATAATTTTTTTTAGTTACATATCGTCGCGAGTCGTTGTGTCATTGTTACTTCATTGTGTATCCGCGCGCGAATTACAGGGGTAAATTTACAACTAAACAGATGAGTCATCTAAATTTTTACATGACAAATATTCCGCCGTCATCTTCAGAGACAGGAGAATCGAAATCAAATGTAAAGAGAGAATAAAACAATAGTGCGTTCGCTCGGTGATTTCAGCTGGCCGGCTGGGGTAAAGATACTACTGGTAAGCCCACAGAGGATTTATTCGCAGTTAATATGCCGTACGTGGAGCGACAGACATGTCGGGATAACGTGCCTGTAGAATTTCGCGGATTCCTCACGTTTGATAAGTTCTGCGCCGGCCTTATGAATGGTGAGTATCTACAGTACCGGCCAAAAATATATTACTTTTAGGATTTTTGAGCATAACTTCCTTCACAGTAAAGAGACTAAATTCAAATTTTTACAGCAGATAGCTGATATTATGTACACTTTATGTATAATGTATGAAAAAATTTGGTAACGTATATTATGATATTCAAAGATATTTATTGATTGTTCCAAAGTCGTCCGTTGACAACCTTTGTATACTCGTTATATTTATGTAATCTGTCGCTATTTCAACACGGTTATAAGCATTAGTTTAGTATCTTAGAAGATGGCGAAGACTTGTGGTGCTCGAAATGTGAACGGACGACAACAGAATGCTATCGTAAAGGGTCGCAAACAAGGGCAGACGCATAAAGAACTTTCCCAGCAGTTTGGCATTTCCAAATCAACGGTGACCAAGTTGTTTACGCATTTAAAGGTTCAGGAAGGTTCTGTTAATAAGAAAATACTTGGCCGACCGCGTTGTTCTACTTCTCTCGTCAATCGCAACATTTTGTGTACATCTCGCAACCCATATCTTACAATGTCGAACATTGCTAAAGAAATATTAACTCCAGGACAGTCTAATCCATCTGTATCATACGCTGTCGCCTGCAAGACGCAGGACTATATGGTCGACGACCTGTGAAGAAGTCGTTCATTTCTGTGAAGAATTGGAAGGTGCGAGTAGAGTGATCCAAAGCACATCTTAACCACTTGACTGGCACGCGCGCCAAAAAGGCGCACGCTTTGCGTCAACAAAGAACTCGCCTTATTTCTTCGCTAGAAATGTATAATTAAATTTACAAGGTCACTAATCTTATGTTTTCGACATTAAGGAATTCGAATTTAATGTCCAAATTAATGAATTTTTAATCCCCGATACACTGTCGTCTGTTTAATATGCACGAAAATTCTTTCTTTCATATCGATTTAAGAACTAAGATTATGCTTCATATTATTGTTTGTTAAGTCAAATGAAATTGTAATAAACATTTTCAAAATATATAAATATATTTAACCTTCGTGCGTGTGTTGGTGAGATGAATCACGACCAACGACGAAATAAACAAAAAATATAACAAAAAACAAAAAATGTAAAAAACAAAAAATAAAAAAAATGTGAAAAAAGGAGTATACAATCCTATCGCTGTAGCCTCCTCGTGGTGCACTCCGGAGTCATGATTCATTTCACTAGCAAACGCACGAAGGTTAAATATGTTTATATGTTTTGAAAATGTTTATTACAATTTCATTTGACTTAACAAACAATAATATGAAAACATAATCTTAGTCCTTAAATCGATATAAAAGGAAGAATTTTCCGTGCTATTAAACAGACGACAGTGCATCAGGGATTAAAAATTTATTAATTTGGACATTAAATTCGGATCCCTTGATGTCGAAAACATAAGATTAACATAAGATTAACTTTTAAATTTAATTATGCATTTCTAGCGAAGAAATAAGGCGAGTTCTTTGTGACGCAAAGCGAGCGCCTTTTTGGCGCACATACCATTTCTGGGATGGACACGAATGCGCCTTTTTGGCGTGCGTGCCAGTCAAGTGGTTAACTGGACATTACGGCAATGGTCTGACGTTCTCTGGAGCGACGAAAGTAAGTTTATGCTGTTTGATAATGACAGAGTAAAGTGGATTCGTCATCCTGAAGGCAAACGCTTTGACCTGAAATACCAACTTCCTACAATGAAGCATGGAGGCGGTTCGGTTATAGTATAGGGTACTTTTTCTGCAAAAGGAATGGGTCCCCTTCATAAAATCGAGGGCATCATAGATCAGACAGTGTACATGAACATCCTCCAAAATGTAATGCTTCCTTATGCAAAACGTTTCCTTGGTCACGGTTTCATCTTCCAACAAGATGATGATCCGAAACATCGAGCAGCTAAAGTGCAGGAGTGGTTCCGACGCTATCGCGTAACTCTTATGGATTGGCCAAATCAATCCCCCGATTTAAATATTATAGAATCGTTGTGGCAAGAGTTGGAGAGACGTTTGGCAGGAAAGCAAGCTAAGAATGCGGCTCAGAAATTCTCCCAACATGAAGAAGAATGGGAAAAGATCCCTCAAGCTACAATCGATGCATTCATTGATTCCATGCTCAGACGTTGTCAAGCAATCGATGCAAAAGGTTTTGCTGCGAAATATTAGAGTTATTTCATTTAAATTATGAATCTGGTACTCCTTTATTGACATTGAACATGGTTACGGCTATTCAAAGTTTACTATTCATTTTAACGTACTTTGGACATTTGATATAAAGTTATTTCTTCACGAGATGTTGTTTATATTATTTAATTAAAATACTTTATTCGATAAACTACACCTGATATCAAAACATGTTATGACCTAATACATATCTATATATTTTAAACCAAGTTATGCTTAAACATCTTAAAGGTGATATATTTTTGGCCAGTACTGTATATGTGCAAATAATTGTGCGAGATTAACTTTTGTTATGTCGCGTTTGAACTTTCGCGAAATTGACGCGAGTTCATTGTACATGATTGAGAATTAGTCAATTTATAAATGGATAATGATGTAATTAGACAACAAGTTAATGTGTATTTATATGCTACAGTAGATGACATGTGATATAAATATTGGTTGAGTTAAGATAACAGAAGAAAATTCACATTTTCATTGTTAGTGTTCTTAGTTCATATAAATGAGTTGAAAGTTTTTTAAGACACCAAAACTTCAATATACAGGTTTTCCGCATGGTTTTCAGGTTCAAGCGCTTGCGATGGAGACAGCGGCGGCGGCTTATGTTTTGAGAGATATGGTACTTGGTATCTTCGTGGTGTCGTCAGCGTGTCTCCCCAGGAGGATAACCATTGCGATTTATACTCTTATGTTGCATTTACTCGGGTAAATGCCTATGTTGAATGGCTTATTACGTCAATCCATGACATAATTTCTACGTCAAAAAGTAAACATCTACAGGTAAATGGGTCGTACGATATGCGAAATACGTCTACATCATCGAGCCAGCAATGGCACAGCGAATGGATGTTACGTATGCGCAAAGTAGGAGCGTCAAAATCCTAAATAACACATCACTCAATAAGTTCGTAGGATGACATATAAATGGCGCTACTATTGACAAATCCATATGATTTTTAGGAACTACTAACCTTCAAATGATACGTGTCAAAATTTCATGACAACCGGACGTTTAGTTCACAAGTTACAGTGGTTCAAAGTGGGTACCGCCTTTGCTCACAGTCAATCAAAAACAGCAACGCGTCGACGATTCAGCGGGCTGTTTGGAGCTGTTTCAGCGCAATAAAAAGGATTTTTTGATGCGGTATGTGACAATGGATGAAACATGGATCCATCACTACACTCCAGAGTCAAATCGGCAGTCAGCTGAGTGGACAGCAACCGACGAAACTCGCCCAAAGCCGAAACTGAAGCCTATTTTGAGGCCAAAGATAAATCGTTCTACAAAAAAGGTATCGAAATGTGAGAGAAGCGTTGGAATCAATGTATCATTCTTGAAGGAGACTATGTAGATGAATAAAGTCAAATTTTGCCTAAAAGTTGTTGTTTTATTAGTCATCCTACGAATTATTGAGTGATGTGTTATTGACGATTATCCTGAATTTTATATTCATTTTGCAAAATGCTCTCGCAACTTCGATGAACATTGACAGACAAACAAACATAAGAAATTCAAGATTCGCGACTTAAGTCGCTGCAAATTCAATAAATCATTAAACTAAATTATATTCTTTCTATTTTGAATCAGTTGATCATTGCTCAACGGTTGCCAGCGATTTTTATAGACTTCCGTACACAGAAAACTTTATACAAGTGACTATTAAGACTGTGTGGAAGTAAATGGTAAATTACCTCGCAACAAGTAAAGCGAACAAAATAAATCAAACTTTATTTTGTAGAAGAAAGTCGTCAAGTTCATATGTAACATTATACATATGTAAAAAGGACATAATATTTTAATAACATAAGTACATGTTATAAAAAAGGAACAAAAATTTGCTCGTGTATATAAACTAATGGTAGATATTTTCAAAATAATGTTTATCGAAAGGTGCACAGAACTGTAACCGTTTTCGAAAGCTTCAAAATACGTGGCCCAACATGGCTATAAGAATGTTACGAGTGTATTTTCGAATATTGTCTTTCAGTTCTTCGATATTTTTTGGTTATGCCGTGTAATATTTGTGTTGGGTATTTCGGCGCTCGCTACGCCTCCACGCAGATAATCATTGGAATTATCGCGTCATCATCAAGATCGGACGTGATCGAGAAAATGACATTTCTCTGATTTGAAATTAATACAGTGGTATGCAAAAATTGTGGGCCTAAATTATTTTTGGCAATATATTATGAATAGAAAAAGCAAGTGACTTGTAACTATAAGTAAATATAAATCTCTGATAATGTACAGAAAGTGTCTGTCTCCCAAAGTTTACCTTTTGAAAGTGTGTTTACAGATATACTTTCAATTAGTCACTGTTCAAAAGTTCCTGGCCACTGTGTTTATTATTTATATCACGCTCCTATTGAGTGCTTATCACTTTATTTCCTAAAAAGTAGCCGATTAAGTAGACATCAGAGTATCAACGTATCTGTCCTATATATGCTTTATGGCATTTTTTGTAACCTTAAACTTTTAGTTCACCTAGTATATGATAGACAAAGACGGAGATTCAATTTGGATACTACCTCTGTCGGTTCAAGTCGGTCATATGGCGAAAACACAGTACTCCTTCCAGTTTGTTCTGTAGTTGAATGAAGCCGATTAACGCGATTTTAGGGCGTTGCTGTAGCAAACCAACATGCTGGAGAAATCAAACTATAAGAATTATGGAACAACTTGTCTTTGAGATAACCTCAGAGGGAAAAATCACATAGATTTAAATGAGGTGAAGAGGCAGCTTATACCATACCTACATGAGCAAATTTTGAAACTCCTGATCCAATCACCTTGTGCAGATTTTATGTATTGATATCAAACATATCGCGAGTACGATATAGGGTCGTACCATCTTGCATAAAATGGAATTTCTTTACTAATCCACGTTTTTTGCGTGGATTAGTAAAGAAGTGGAAAAATGATTTAATCTCTCACAACTCTTTATAACTTTCACAGGTAACAATACCTTCAAAAAATTGCAGATAAACTCCTTTTATAGAAATCGCAGCCCACGCGGAATGAAGAGATCCCTTTTCGGGATGAAGAGGAGCGGCAACCGACATACATTTGAATTTTCTTTTCTCCAAAACCGATAATTTTGCTTGTTGACGTAATCGTTTAACCAAAAACGAGCTTTATCCGTAAAAATAATTTCTTTTTTATTGAGGTCCTCATTTTCAAACATACCGGTTACCAAATTTAACTCATTCCTCCATTGGTTTCTTTATCAGCAACTGATATATCACGATTTTATAAGGAGGGAGTATGGTAATATCTTTCATGATCTTTCAAAAAGTTTCTCGCTTCAAATTTACAATTTGAGCAGATTTCTGAATCGAGGAATATAGATTTGTTTTTAAATATGCTTTGACATCATCAATTGTTTCGTCTGTTGTAATGGTTCGGGATGGACAGGGTAAATCATGTCTGCGATCATTTAGAGTGCCATATATAATAAAATTATCAATAATCCTGCGAAAAGATATTGAGCAATAAATAAAATCTCTGATTAACGGCATAATGGATAGGCAAGGTAGTTTATGGTAGATTAGTGTTAAATTAGAGCGCGATTCTATTTGAAAATAGCTTGCTTGAATTTTTTTTAGAACCATATTTATTACGAAATATACGATGTGCCTCGCATTTTTTCTGCTTCCACTCTAGAAACACTCGATAAGAACAAACACTTTTTCTTCGATGCTTAGCGCGTTCACTTGTAAACTGACTTGTACAGCGGTTCAAATGAAACTGATGAATTTCAGGTATCAGATTCTAGTAAGTAAAATGGCCGTCGAAGTCATGGAGGGGAAATATAACCGTTTACCTTCAACACAAGCCTCCTCCTAATAATCACTCTGTACAACATATAATGTCAAACCTGACACTTTGTGCACCCGAATGATATCTGACAAAATCTTTCATCAAAATTTTCGCATAAGTCGCGATAGCAAAAGCGAAAGTGGGAGTCTAAAATAATGCGAAAGTCTCGGTTTCACAAATGCGAAAGCGAATATTCGTTACAACCCTAATATACATATACACAAATACATACATGATATATCAGCAATATCGTTTGAAGTGGAAAAATAAGGATATAAAGATTTTCGCTATTTTGTGTTCTCGTCTTTAAATTGCAGATTAAATAAATAGTTAAACTGCATGATATACTTTTCTTCTTAATTCCTGTATCACTACTCATTCGTCGACTCCGAATTTTTTCTTATGGACAAACCACTTTATGCATCAAGTGATGACGACATTGTATTTTCTTAAAAATGGTAATTCTTTCGTCGACAAATCATCGTATTTGCTATATAAATATTTTATTCGTTCATGCTGTACATTTTCAATGTCAATTGCGATCAAATGTAAGTACGCGGTCATGCTCTACGCGCTGCTTTCCTATTCCCTCTTTTATTGTCAAATGATATTTATTAAGTATTGCCAATAAACAATCAACAAGACGAAGCAATTTTCAATGAGATCATAGCTGCAGAGCTCGTTTCATAGCATTATACGTGTTGATTAGTCTATCCACTTTCATTAATATCTCAAAATTTCACCCGATTGTTTGAAAAATGCTAAAAGAATCTTTTGTTCAACTTCACTCACTCTACTCTTTTATGCCGCGAGTGTGCTTCGAGTTTGACTTCAGTTGAACACATATAAAAGAGAATAAAATTATACAGGTATGTTGAGATGCGCGATATCGGTTTTATCGAAAGCATTGATGTAAATTTTTAAAATGTGTTTCCATTGATCTATACATTTAACATTGTCAACACTGAAGTATCGACATTTCATCTTCAAGGTTATACGATAATTACGCAACATTTCGCAATCATAGACGTTCATAATTTTTATTATCCTAACATTATTTGTTATATTTTGGCATTAGTTGTAAATTTCTCTACGAATCGCTATTATCAAATTTATAATATCATTCAAGTTTCATACAAGTTTTTCTCTTTGCTCCAGCATCAACATGCCAAGTTAATCGGTGCAGATTCATCTTAAAATAAACCGGTTAACCTTTCACGTAAAACAGAGCTGGAGGCGATCTGCACATTTTGAGTAAAATTCAAGAGGTGGCACCCACGGTCCTCCTGCCCCCACTTCGCGCTCAGCGGCCGTGGCGACGCCGACGATCGCGATGCGCTCAGGTCCGTCACTGTATAAGAAATCAGCTGAAGCATCATATTATCAGCATTCTTATATTATCATTAAAATTTTTTTCTCGTTTAATAATCGCTTAAAAATATATATGTTTATCTTTTTAAAATATAGGAGTATATGTTTATGCATTATATATACAGGGTATCTCATTTTAATGTCTCACCCCAAATAATTCTTCAGTATTGAAGTTTCAAGGAAAATGATCTGAATAAAAATTGTAGGGATTTAAGTGAGTTATCTTATGATGACCTTGACTTTGACCTTGACTTCTATTTTCACGGTCATTTGAAGGTCAACTTGCGTTTTTTAAATGGGAACCCTTATTTTTTATTACACTGTTTTTTCTACTACTTAATTTGAACAATTTTCGTCTGAAACATTTTTTTATTTGTCTAATATTCTTTGAGATATTTGAGGAAAACTTCATAATTTTTTCAATATTTAACTTACGATATCTTGCTAACTATTTGTCGGAAGAAAATATGGTACTAGACTTTCTTGCTTTATTTGGCCTCAAGAATATATTGTTACAATAGCTCCTTGACTTTTGTTAACTTACTGATTTTTGGAAATTTCAAAATCATCAAATTAAAAAAAATTAGGGCGCTATTGTAACAATATATTCTTGAGACTATCGTAAGTTGAGGTATCGTAAGTTAAATATTGAGAAAGTTATCAAGTTTTCGTCAAATATCTCAAAAAATATTAGACAAATAAAAAATGTTTTAGACAAAAGTTGTTCAAATTAACTAGTAGAAGAAAACAGTGTAATAAAAAATAAAGCTTCCCATTTGAAAAACGTAAATTGACCTTCAAATGACCTCGAAAATATAGGTCAAGGTTAAAGTCAAGGTCATCTTAAAGTATCTCACTTAAATCCCTACAACTTTTATTGAGATTATTTTTCTTGAAATTTCAATACTGAAGAGTTATTTGGGGTGGGACATTAAAATGGGACACCATGTATATATATTTATATATACATGGTGTCCCATTTCATACATATACATATATATATTATTAAACGAGGAAAAAATTTTAATGATAATATAACGCGAGGGTGCACTCCAGCTGATTCTTACACAGCATCGGACCTGAATGCATTGCGATCATCGCCTCGGCTGTTGAGCGCGGAGCGGTGGCAGGTGGACAGTGGGAGTCACCTTTCGAATTTTGTCCGAAATGTGCAGATCGTCTCCAGCTCTGACGTAAAGCACCGGTTAGACCTCGATGTGAGCCTCGCGTTCAGTTTCTCATTGACTGTAAAGTAGCTATTTTTCTATAGGTGTTTCTATAATTATGAACGCATATGCTGTATTGACAGCATTAACAATAACGACAGTTTTGTTGTTGCTGACTTTATTGCCATTCTGTGAGTATTTTATATAACGCTTTTCAATTCACGCCTTTGCTCATTATTCTGATAGAACGGTCGTAGATCAAATCCGTGTGAAAAATTGCCGGCAGAATGCTAAAGTGACATTGTGCGGTTATGGGATTTAATCATATCGTGATTTGACGTGTTTCCGTGTCGCGAGCAATCGGTCGTGTCGTCCTTCAAGTAATGATATTAAAAATAATGTACCGAGGAATTCTTATAATTTTTTATAATTTCTTTCTTATAGTCTTATAATTTTTTATAATTTGTTTCTTATAATTCTATTTATAATTCTATAATGCGATATTCCGATACGTCCGAGTAACATCACTCAGCTACTTCTTTATTTATTTGCATTTAAAATCAAAATAGGAAGTATGACAATTTTCAAACGCACATGAAAAAATTTGCTACATTCAGATATATGGATATATTAATCAGATTATGTAAAATATAAATATAGAGAGTTCTTATCATTATAATATAAAATAGAATTATAATATAATGATTCTTATAAAAGATAACATTTTTTAATGATACTTATGATAGAATGTAGATTTATATGATTATATAATAAATATTACAATAGATACTTTTACAAAAATATTTCACCGCCTTCAGTTCTTAAAAATCGGGTTTGATTGAATTTGAGTTGTAAAAAGTGTGCATTCAACTTAACGAGTGTGACACCGTTTTTAGGTCAGAAACTTTTAGGTCGGCACTTTTACTTAAACAGTGAGTGGTGGAAACATATTGTCGAGTAGTAAAAATGAGTATCCGAGTAGTAAAAAAGTACTATAAAGTGTATTTTTAAGCAGATTACACGTCTTTAACACTTTCTTTAGCTGCGAATAACAGCACGTTAATACGTATATTTTTACTCAATTTATTTCAAAGTCTTGAATAAAAGAGGTACGTATTACCGTGCAACCACACATCAGCTGAAACAAGAGTTAAAGACGGGCAATCTGCTTAAAAATATCATGTATACTCGCACATATTCGCGTATACTTGTCATAATTTTTTGCTCCATACGCTGCGCGGGCTTGAGAGTGCAAGAAACGGACATAAAATTGAAGAAGCGGGTAGAAAACGAGCTAGAAACGAGTCAAAATCGGGTAATATGAGGATAAAAACGGTGAAATATTTTTGTAAGTTTAATATATATTGTATATAATATTATAATCGCTGTTATAATTCTTATAATAGAATGTAGAATAAAAAATTGAGGATATCAAACAAAATTGATTATAGTGATTCAGTTAAAATTCAATTAAGATAACCAGGCAAATTGGATTATATGGTTACATAGATAAGGTAATTGAACAAAATTTGTTGGACAAATCAAATTGTATTCATAATTTTAACGATACATTTTCTTATATTTTTAATTGAATTTGTTTCCTAAGTTAGTGCATGTTTCGTGTTAGCGCATGGTGATTTTTACATGAAATTAATCATTTGATTGATTGATGTTACATTGTTCTTGAAAAACTCGTTTACCTTGATGGAATTGGAACATGAGACCTTTGCCTCGCCACTTGTACCTAACTTGTGTGCTACTTCTCATATTAATAGATGTTACGTATTACTTATATATGTGAGCAGGAGAGGATTTAATGAGATCTGTAAGGATAATTAGTTATAGAAGCGAAGACTCAGGAGTCACATATATAAAGTACTTAATAATAATTGCTGTTTTCTTAATCAATCATACGTTAATTTCACTAATAATAATGTTGTGTTTTACCTAAACGATTTTTGTCTCTAATAGCCCAATTGATATATTTCTAATTAAGCTTTTAGTTAAACTTACGACTAACTTAAACTTGATCTACCTGCTGAAATTCGGCAAAATCATTAGGCTATTTTTTGCGTGCAAATTTCTGATTTAAGGATCAATATATATCATTGTATGTAGCTAGTATTATATCTAAATGCTTTGTTTGAATATCTGCATATTTAATTAGAGTAATTATACAATCTATATATTTTCACTTTAACCAACTTTAATCAAACATGTCAGTTACTTTACCGTTTTACTTATCAATGTTTTTTTTATGCGATATAAATACATTAGATATTGAGTGAATATTTAAAAGATACACACGAAAAATTTTCTAGAAAGGACGAAGTTTATATCACATCTTAGGAAGAATCAGTGGAATTTTGCAGATACAGTACATATATAAATCCGATTATAAAACTTCGTTAAATTTATTCCGGCTCCTGCGCGTATTTCTTTTTTTTATTA